AGTGCTCTGCAGCAAGGCCAGATGAACTCTAAAAGGGGAAATGGAAGGTCGTGAAGAAAAAGTGTCAGGAACAACTTCTGAACAACAAAATCCTCAAACTACACTTTAATACACCAGTGTAATTGCCAATCCTGACCCGACGCCCTTCCTCCATTTTGTCTCGTTTACTCATTCCAAACTTAGTGGAAAACGTATAAAATTAAACATTACAACTAAGCAAAATTTTGCTGTTCACACTTGCACAGGAGAGCAACATACGTAGCCAGCCCTACACAGATGCACAATTATTGGCTGAGAAGCGATGAGGAGTACGTATTTCTTAAAATTTCTATGGTAGTTTGCGTTTCTTAAGCCCCTTCTCTCAATGGTTTTAAAAACATTAATACTTATAAAACCATTAATACTTAAATCTTTATACTGGGGCCAGGGTCACCAAATAGAAGGTAAATATTTCAGAGGGAGAGGTTCATAATATTCATAAATTCACAATAACTTGTGAAATTCAGGATGCATTTAGCACCTTTAAATGTTAAACCTAGGGAACCCCCACCTTTAGAGTATAATAGCTAATCATAGTGAGCTAGTTATTGTGCTAAGCACTGTACATACGTTCTCAATCCTAACAATCTAGGAGATGGGCATCAACTATATTCTGCTATATTACAGGTAAAAGTTGCAGTGAAGGATTACAGAGAGCAATTTAGAAATCCCCACAGTAAGATTACAAGGGTGAAAGACATTGAACATTGGAAAAGTCTTGTATATACTACCGAAATTAGTTTCTAAAATGGTTTTAAATTTAGCAAACCCTTAGGGCACCTGGGTGGCTCAGTCGGTTAAGCATCTGCCTTCAGCTCAGGTCATGATCCCAGGGTCCTGGGATTGAGCCCATCGGGCTCCTTGCTCAGCGAGGACCTGCTTCTCCCTCTCCCTCTGCCTGCTGCTCCCCCCTGCTTGTGCTGCCAACTAAATAAATAAAATTAGAAAAAAAATTTAGCATACCCTCCTACCTAACCAATTACTAACTTGGTATTTACCCAAAGTTTCATTTATGGAATTATTTTGTGTGTTCTTTAGTGCATGTTATTGGTTGTTTTGGGGGGGCACTATGTCCTTCCAATTCATGTTTAAGTCTTAACCCCCAGTACCTCAGATTGTGACTTATTTGTAGGGCCTTTACAGACGTACTTAAGGTTAAAATGAGGTCATTAGGGTGGGTCCTAAACCAGTATGACTGATCTTAAAGAGATTAGGGCACAGGCACTCACAGACTGTGTGAAGATAGAAGGGTTATCTGCCAGCCAAAGTGAGACCTTAGTGTAAACAACACTGCCCACACCTTGATCTTCTAACTTCTAGTCTGTGTAACAGAATTTTAAGTTACCCAATTTCTGGTACTTTGTTATGGCAACCCTAACAAACTAATATAGTGCAAAGATTTAAAAATGGTATTTTGGAGGAAACTTGCAACTTAATTCCCTAATTAGTGAAGTTGAACATTTTCCCTTTTCTCATTACTTGCCCATTCATACCTCATTGCTTTTTTGAATATACAGTTCTCATTTGTCCTTGAAGTTTTTTAATTGCAAGAAAGTTTTCAGTTTTCATGTAAACTTGTTCCATCTTTACCTTTGTCATGTTTGTAAACTGAGAAATTCTTTCCTCTTCAGAGATGTTTTTTCCTTTTTTTTTTTTTTAGGCATCTAGAATTTTGCTATTCTTCTCCATATAATTTACTGGTTATACTAACTCCATATAATTTACTGGTTATACGAACACAATTTATGAAATAACTTTTCTTTTTAATGATTTTGGATACTGCTTTATTTTTTTAAGATTTTTTGTTTACTTAGAGAGAGCAGAGGGAGAGGGAGAAGCAGACTCTCTGCTGAGCAGAGAGCCCGGTGTGGGGCTCTGCGGGGCTCTATCCCAGTACCCCAAGATCCTGATCTGAGCCGAAGGCAGACGCTTAACCAACAGAACCACCCAGGCACCCATGTTTTTTTTTAAGTAGTCTTTACACCCAATGTGGGGCTCGAACCCACAACCCTGAGATGAGGAGTGTCATGCTCCACCAACTGAGCCAGTCAGGTGCCCCTCATTGTAATTTGTTTTTAAAACTTCACATTATCGTTTATTCTAGATTTGCTTTAGTTATTATATTGAGTTCCCATCCCTACCTCTATAGTTCATACAAATTGAATTGAAAGGAACTATCAGTTTTCGTTTAAATTCACTAGTGAAATAGTAACTACAGTAATCTATCCAGTTTGCTAAACTGATTAAAAGTTGAGTCCTGGGCGCCTGGGTGGCTCAGTTGGTTGGGCTACTGCCTTTGGCTCGGGTCATGATCCTGGAGTCCCAGTATTGAGTCCCACGTTGGGCTCCCTGCTCAGCGGGGAGTCTGCTTCTCCCTCTGACCCTCTTCCCTCTCGTGCTCTCTCATTCTCTCTCTCTCTCAAATAAATAAAATCTTAAAAAAAAAGTTGAGTCCTATGTATTAAAATTTATCTATTTATATATGTTAGCTTCCTAGAGTGCACTCCCATGGAATAAGCAGTGTTCTATGCACCTTTATATCCAAGCCTGGAAGAAAATAAATTACTTACTAGTTTTGAGCAAAGCAGGGGGAGCAGCAGGCAGAGGGAGAAGCAGGCTCCCCATTGAGCAGGAAGCCCAACACAGAGCTCGATCCCAGGACCCTGGGTTCATGACCTGAGCCGAAGGCGGCAGACACATAACTGAGCTACTCAGGCACCCCTGGTTTTAGTTTTTCAACAAAAAGATGAGAATATGTATCTTTAGAAATACCCAACATAGCTTATATGTTGCTAAATGGATTTGGAAATACCAAGTTTAACCAAGGTATAAATTGTAACTATTCAATTCACCATTAACCAAAGGCCTACACAAAGAGCTCTCTTGGGGCGCCTGGGTGGCTCAGTGGGTTAAGCATCTGCCTTTGGCTCGGATCATGATCCCAGGATCTGGGGTCGAGCCCCGCATAGGGTTCCCTGCTTAGTGGAGAGCCTGCTTCTCCCTCTCCCTCTGCTTGTGCTCTCTTACTGTCAAATAAAAAAAAAAACAACAACAAAAAAAACACCTGTCTTCAAAGAGCTCCAAACCAAGATCTAACAAACAGGATTTAGGTATTCTAATGGATAGGTGCAGGTACACTTTTAGAGTGGTGAAGGAACTATCAAGGCATATATTGAATCTATCCCTTAAGCTCATCAAGCTCCCTTTGCTATGAAACCATGATTTTCTGGCAACTTCTGATATTCTAAATCAAAGATTAGCAAATCTTCTTAAAGGGCAAGATCGTAAATATTTTAGCCTTGTAGACCTTCAGTCTCTTGTCACAACCAATCAATACTGCTGTTGCAGCACAAAGCAGTCAGAAAACACATAAACAAAATGGGCATGGTTGAGTTCCATGAAGACTATTTGCAGAAACAGGTGGCCAGCCTGAGGGCTGTAGTTTGCTAACCTCTGGTCCAAATCGGGAGCCATACTACTCTTTTTAAAGAGAATTTGGTTGATCAACAATATTCTAGTCTTCTTAGTAGTTTATGTGTACTGCCAATTAATAAATGGAACAGAACATCAAGCACGCAACTGCCAAATGTGATCAGTGTGAACCAGTCAACTCAGTGTGAGTGGACAGAAAACAGTGTTAGGATTTTGATCCTCATGATGCCTCCAATAGGCCCAAGGTGGGCAGCCAGTCTATCTCTGAGATCTTTATAGCTATAACTGAACAGACATTGTAAGAATGAGCTCTAAAAACCAAAAAACCCACCATATTGGTAACACTTAAAAAAACAAAAGCAGAGTTTGGAAGAAAAACTGAGGGAATGCCAGTCAGTACAAAAACATCTTGACAATCAGTAAAAGCCTCTTAATAGTAACGACAAAAAATTTCAGTTGTCATTCACTGGAAAAGAAAAATACCAGGTATAAGTGTCAAAACAAATTCTGCCCAAAAGAGGCTTTAAGTCTAGAAATCCAAATGATTAAATTAAAAGGCTGAATCAAAATGTGAAGGCATTAGGGGTACCTGGCTGGCTCAGTAGGCAGAGTATGGAATTCTTGATCTTAGGGTTGTGAGTTCAAGCCCCACATTGGGCACAGAGCTCATTTTAAAAAACAGAAGTGAGGATATTAGTATAATTGGCACATCAGTTTAGTAGAAGGTATAGATGGTAATAAGAGGATATTGCAAGCTAACATCCAAATTGTAGTTAAGAAAGAAAATATTTAGATCAGCTATCTACAGAAATGATACAAACCAAGAAATAACCAAAATCTAATCAAGGTGATCAAAGCAGTTTGAAGAATATGGTTCTCGCAATGGTATTGCCTGATAAATGATGAGGCCTGATTTGGTGAGAGCCCTGTGGTGGAGAAAGGTTAGGAGAGGTGCTTCCATTTACTCACTACAGAACACAATACATGTCAGAAGCTTTACACACATTGTTTCATTTAATCCTTGTAATAGTCTTACAAGCGGGATGAGTCTTTAGGGATGAGAAAACTTGGGAGATGTTAACCTGCCTAAAGGTACTAGTACTGTGATTCAAACACAATCCAGGACTCCACAACTGGTGCTCTTAACCAACTAATTGCATTTTCCAAACGGATCACCTGTAGTATTCTATCCTGCAATACTGTAAATGATAAGCTTTCAAAAATGTTCCATGGGCAAATGAGTTGGGAAATTCTGAGTGCTTACTGTACTCTAGGACTTCTCTGAGCCTTTACTGTAAATCTAAAGACTAGAGAAAATAGCAAAATGGATTGGCTGGCTTTTCTAGATGATCTCCATCTTGTCCTTACTCCTAACTGTACAAAGTGAATAATTAATGGAAAAGACTACTTCTAGGACATGGACTAGATATGGCAGGAATATGTAATTAGAGTGCTCAAAAATGCCTGGATTTGAGACTCAGCATTTAAAAATGAATGCTTATATGTAAAAATTAGAAGAGTTTTAAGAAAATTAAACTTAAATACATTAGATAATAGTTATAATAAAAAATATGCTTTAATAATGGGAATAAAAGCTGTTTGGGCCCCCATGGTACCACCAACTCATAGAAGATCTTAGCTATAAACAAGAAGAAGGATGATGTAATCTTTCAACATAATTAAAACTGGGTAAACCACAATAGGTGTGTTCCTTGAATAGTCTGCCAAATATTTTTCCAGATTACTGCTATTGTGCAAATGGATTGGCATGAATAGTTATGTCCTTAATGTGTACATCGTTAAGAGGTCGATAGGTCTTCTCATTTACTGGTAACTTCTCCAATTCATCCAGAGTCTCCAGACCATCTATTACCCTGAAATAGAAACAATAAAAATGTATGAAAATTTCCTTAGATTGAAACATAGTATCCAAATACCTATAGCAATTACAGTTTCCTTAAGAGAAAAGGACCATGTCTCATAGTTCTTTGAATTCCCGAATTGATTTTCTACCATGGATATGAGCCAAAATTCAGAAAAAAAAATTCATTTTTGTGCCTTTAGACAATAGCAATGGGTAGGAATATTACCACCAAAGTACTCCCACAGCATAGCTACAAATGGGTCTAATATAACCAGTCATAAGATTTTTTTTGCTATCGGAAAGCCCAGAGAAAGTATGTTAAGGGTGACACTTATTACTTAGTACTGCCCTATACTAAAGGTCCTGAAGTGAGTGGCGGCTTTACACTTTATTGTTTAAATGTGTTTTTACTTTTTGCATCTGCGCAACAACAAAAAGCAGTAATAATAAGAGAAGGGAAGATGGGACACTTAAGCCCACTTCCAGCAAGTGTATTTCACGTTACTACAAAGAAGAAGAAATATATAGACAGCTATCCTTCGGGCAAGTTGGTCTAAAACATTTGCTAAGAAAAGGTGGCTTGCTTTATTTATTTATATATTTATTTATTTTAGAGAGAGCAAGTGAAAGAGCATGTGAGTGAGGGGAGAGGGAGAGAGAAACTCCAGCAGACTGGGCTCCGTCCCAGGAACCCGAGATCACGACCTGAGCCAAAATCAAGAATTGGTTGCTTTATGGACTAAGCCACCCAGGCGCCCCCCTCCAAAGTCTTTAAATTTTAAGTTTCAAAACCCTTCCCACCTTCTGGGTCAGTAAGAGAAACAGGCTATAGGAAACAGATCTCAGGCAAAAAAGGGCATGTAGAATTGAGGCAAGTCAGTCAAGTATTTGGGACATGGGCCCCTTTGAGAACAAATGGAAAGCTATGTACCATCTTCCCAGAAAAACGTGTGTATACACAGAGAACACATAATTTCAAGGACTTAAGGGACCTAAGGTTAAGAATCTTTGTTCTTAACTCTCTAGTTCTGTCACAAAACTAGTAACATAAATCTTAGTAATTAATGATCGATAATTCTGAATGGTGGGTTAAAGGAGAAAATGAAAAGAAGGGAACCTGAGTGATCCAGGCAATTACTACTAGAGGCTGTAATATTTCATTAATTTCACTGAATATTAATCTATAAATTAGACATATATATATATATATATATATATATGGAATGAAAACTAAGAGTTGTTGAGTCTTCTATTTTTAATTAACCTAACTTGGCATCCACACTGTTAAGTGAAAGAAACTCTAGAACTGTGCCTTGGTTTATTGAGCATAGTAAATATTTGACTTCTTGCTGATTTATAAAAGCAATTCCCAGGCATAGTGGATATTCTGGCAGAACCTGCTAAACACCTCCCTAAGATCCAGGCTCCCCTTCTTACTCATAGAAACCTGATTTTATTGAGAGTGGCAATGTGTCTAGCTGAAAAACATTTCCTACCCTCCCTTGTAGATAAGGGGAGGCCTCATTGCTAAGTTCTGGGTCTTCTAGGAAAGCTCTTTAAAAAGGGGCTGACTTGTGGAGCCTACTAAATATATATGTACGTACATACATACATACATACATTAATAGGGCTGACTCAGCTGGCAAGCACCTCTTGCCCTTCCTCCTCCTTTTTGCCTGGAACACTTTCTGACTGGAGCTATGCTGCCCATCTTACGACCATGAGGTGAGCATGAGGATGGAAGATAAAGATGGTTTAGGAAGAACACTGGTGACAGAAGCAAACCACCATCTTAGCCCATCTTGCTGAAGCCACTGTTTTTCAGATCCATCAGTTGCTGCAAAATGCTATTCATAAGAAATACATTACTGTTAATTTTAATAATAATCCTCAAAAAAAAAGATTGGCTCCTACTTTACAAAATAAAGACATTAAGGCTTGAAGAGGTTATAAGTTCCCAAGGTCGCAGTGCTGGTAAGTGGTGAACTTACCAGGTGTATTTAGCTTTCCTACCGCTCCTTCAGTATTACGCTATTATCATAGCCTCTCATATGCATCCCTTGCAATGAAATTCCAAAGAAAACAGTAACCAAAATACTCACTTTCCAAATACTGTGTATTTCATGTCCAAATGTGGCTGCTTGCCATAGGTGATGAAGAACTGAGATCCATTGGTGTTTGGCCCGTTATTAGCCATAGATACAACACCTCTAACATTGTGCTGTAAAAGACAGGCCAAAATATTTAACTGTGTTTTTATATAAATATTCCAAATATAGGACTTAAGCCAAGACCTGTACTTTTTTTTTTAAGATTTTTTAATTTATTTTTTGACAGAGAGAGAGACAGTGAGAGAGGAAACACAAGCAGGGGGAGTGGAGAGGGAGAAGCAGGCTTCCTGCGGAGCAGGGAGCCCAATGCGGGGCTCAATCCCAGGACCCTGGGATCATGACCTGAGCCGAAGGCAGATGCTTAACAACTGAGCCACCCAGGTGCCCCAAGACCTGTACTTTTTAAGGGCCCAAGAAAACATTTAATCAGCTTCTATTAGGGCTAACCCGAATGTTCGCTTTCTGTATTATCTGCATTTCTAAAACTTGTATGTAAATTGTTTATATATCAAATCATATGCCCCAGTTAATTTCATTTTCACTTTGGAGGAGTACAGCCACAAACATTTTTCACAATACCAAGGTATTGATAGACATCCTTACATTTATATTAAGGAACATGCTGGCGTGAAACGATCAGGCAGACAACAAAACCAAAATCCCCATAAGCTCTTGACACATACACTGGACTCTGGCTAGTTTCTTTATCTGTAAAACAAGGGAGGGAGGTTGGACTAGTTCAGGGGTTTATTCATAATTCAAATGCTCACAAGGGTCAGCAGATAATAAATTGATTAACTGGACAGAATGTACACATTAGGGAGTGACGGGAGTCTGGCAAAAGGAATGGTATATCTCTTGCCTAATAGCACTAAAAAATTTTTTTAAACCAATGGCCATTGAGAATACATCTGTGGATCCCACCCAAGGGCAGTCAGTTCATGACCCAGGACTGGATGATCTAAGGGAAGGTCTCCTACAGCTCAAACATGCATGATACTATTTGTTATACAGGGACTGTTTAAAGAATTAAAAGGATTTTACTGATAAGACTGAAGACATGACAGAACTGTGTTATAAGGAGGTGCTGCCATAAATAATGGTTACTCTCTCTTTAGCTATTCATCAAGAAACACTAATGAGTCAAACAATAGAAATATAGCTGTATCAAGATATTAATGCTTTGATGGACATTAAGGAGGGCATGTGATGTAATGAGCACTGGGTATTATATAAGACTGACGAATCACAGGCCTGTACCTCTGGAACCAATAATACATTATACGTTAATTGAATTTAAATAAAAAATGTGAAAAAAGATATTAATGCTTTATTGTCTTCCTAAAAGGTGACTCCCAAATGTTACATTTGATGCATACACAAGAATGTATGTACCACTTACAACTTAATAAAATATTCAACCTATTTCTAAGATAATTTACCAAACTGTTGCATATGCCTATGTACTCATTACCTCAACTTCTCCGAGACCCACTATTCTATCTTTATACATGCCTAAAAAATATATTTTTTTCTTTTGCTTGTTTCTGAGCTAAGATAGTATCATACTATTTGTAGTCGTCTGGGAAATGGTATTTATACAATCATTATGTTTCTAAGATTTACACATGAATGTGTAGCGGTAGTTGTGATTTTTACTGCTGGATAATATTCCACAACTGAATATAATTTCCATTTTATGATCAGTGGACATTTGGGTTGTTTTTAGATTTTTGCTATTAAAATAGCCCTCTAGGAACACTCTTGTACTGTTTCCTGATGCACATGTACAAGAGTTTCTGGAGGGTAAACATTTGGGAATGGAATTGCTGGGTCAGAGTATGTAAATATTCAATACACACCCTCAACTCTGGTATATAAAGATAATGGTTCTTAACCGTAACTGTAGGATCACCCAGGAACCCTGAAGTATAATTCAGGTCCTAATCATTCCTATTCTTTTTCTCTATAATTTAGGGGGTGTAAGGCCATAATATTTCATATTTTTAAAATTTCCACAGGTGAGTCTGTATTAACCAGTGTTGAAAACCACTGGTATACAGATTAGTGTTATGGAAGCAGTTATTAATTAATGTCTAAAAAGTTTTGTTTTTAATTCAGGAAAAGGATGACTTAATAAACAATTTATCACCCCTCCCAACCCCAACTCCTATAACAAAAGTAATGTTCCCTTATGAAAAAAAACAAAAAGAAGAAAAAATAAATTACTCCTAGTCCCACCATCCAGACATAAACACTGCAATGGAATTTTTTCAGAATTTTCCTGGATATATTTGAATGTGACTGAAATACGATGTACTAAATTACATATTTTTATTGAGAATTTCTTTTTCTAATTTCTAAAGTTATCATTTTATGCAGATACGAAGTTTATTTAAAAGACCACATGATAACTGTCAGCAGACGTCATCTCTGGGAAGTATAACTGATTTATTTTTTTAATTTTTAATTTAATTTTTTTTTAAAAAACAGGCATGCATTAGTTTTTTATTAAAAAAAAAGGTTCTTGGGGTACCTGGCTAACTCAGTTGGTGAAGCATGCGACTCTTGATATCAGGGTTGTAAGTTTGAGCCCCACACTGGGTGTAGAGATTACTTAAAAATAAATCTTTTTTTTTTTTTAATTAAAAATCTTCTTTAGAAAGTTTGGAAAATTGAGGAAAAAATATGAAAAGAAAAAAAAACAGGAAAGGAAATAAAAATCTCTAATTTTACCATGCCAAGCACTTCCCTTTAACCTAATTGGGATCCACCACAGACATTAATTCAGGAATATTCAAACATCAAACAAAGATAATAAAAGTTCATATTGATAATGTGCAATATTGCAACCAGGAGGTCTCAGAGGCTTTCCTCCCTATTCTCAAAAAAGGCTGGTGATTCATGTCATTCAACATTAATTTTATAGTGAGACATTAGCCCTTTTGGTACATTACTGATTAAACATTTCAGGTTGGACCCAAAGATAAGCTCACTTAATATCAAGATCCATGTGATTGTGACATTCCAAAATATATTTTAGGCAAGAAATGCAATTTATATTTATATTTTCTCCCTGACATTTATCAAGTGTACTAAAACTACAAAAATACAATGTTTGTATACTAATGACATTAACTTGTGTTACTACAACATGTATTAAAGTTTTCAAGTGTAAACAAGGCATGAGAAAATAGATTTTGAAGCACTAGAGATATACCTTAAGATATTCACTATATTCATCCTCAAATTTCTTGCCCCAGATACTGTTACCTCCTCTTCCGGTACCTATATTACGAGACAGACAAAAGAAGTCTCTAATTAAAAAAAAAGTAAAGTTGAAAAGGTTCATTTTCTAAAACATAAGAGCTATTTTATAACTATCTATTTATTTATTTATTTTTGAAGATTTTATTTATTTGTGAGAGAGAGAAAGAGCACACAGCTGGGGGAGAGGCAGAGGAAGAGGGAGAAGCAGGCTCCCCACTGAGCAGGGAGCCCAACGTGGGGTTTGACCCTAGGACCCTGAGATCATGACCCAAGCCGAAGGCAGACACTTAACCAACTGAGCCACCCAGGTGCCCTAATAACTTTAAACATAAATAAAATTTGGGGTGCCTAGGTGGCTCAGTCTGTTAAGCGTCTGCCTTTGGCTTTAGTCATGATCCCAGGGTCCTGGGTTCGAGTCCCACATTGGGCTCCCTGCTCAGCAGGGAGTCTGCTTCCCTCTCTGTCCCTCTTCCTGCTCATGCTTGCGCGTGCACTCTCTCTCTCTCTTGCAAAAATAAATTTAAAAAAATAAAGATAAAACTTGTTATGTTCTCTTACCAAATTTCACTTTATAGACCAGAAAAATAAAGTATCTCTACAAAAAAAAAAACTCCTCTATCAGTATTGTTCATATTTTAAGATGTTATTTATTTATTTTAAGGAGAGAGTGCATGAGCAGGAGAGGGAGAGGGAGAGAGAATCCCAAGCAAACTCTGTGCTCAGCGGAGAGTCTGATGCATGGCTTGATCTCACAATCCCAAGATCACAACCCAAGCTGAAACCAAGAGTCCAATGCTCAACTGACTGAGCCACCCAAGCACGCCAGTCATATTTTATTTTAAAGATAGATGCCAGTAGCTTCTACTTAAAAATTTCTTGCTATGGTAAGGTAGCGGGTTGTAAAAACTCTATGTGCTTATATCTTTGGTTTTATTTTATAAAAGTTAAATAAATTTATTTAAAAAAATATATTTATATATATATTTTTCTAAGTAGGCTCCAAGCCTAGTGGGGCTTGAACTCACGACCCTGAGATCAAGACCTGGGCCGAAATCAAGAGTCAGATGCTTAACTGACTGAGCCACCCAGGCACCCCCCCCCCAAATATTTTTAATTTGAGTATAGTTGACACACAATGTTGCATTATATATTTTTCTATTTGTCTACCCTCTTCTTCATACTATATACCCAATTCTCTAGATAGATATTAATGCAGTAACTTACCTGTCGGATCTCCTGTTTGAACCATGAAACCTTTGATATTTCTATGAAATATACAGCCATTGTAGTAATTACTGGCACAAAGAGCCAAAAAATTCTGAAAAGGGTAAAAATAATGATTAGGAAATGATGTAGCAGAAACACATTTAAAGTAGTGAACAAACTGTATTTACTCAAAATACCATAACAATGCATTTATGTTTTTTAGGCATTACTTTGGATAATGTCACTTTTCTGTCTAAAACACTTGAATAGCTTCCTTCTATTCTTGGAATAGAATACAGTCATACCTCTACATCTCATGTGTTAATAACTTCTTTCTCTTACTATGTTAACCCCATCATCATTCTGAAAATTCATCCAAAAGAGGTGGGCTTTCCCATCTTGTGGCCTTTGTACTTCTATCTCTATACCTGGAATATTCTTTTTATCTCTTTCCATGGAGATGCCTTCATTACCTTCTGCACTCAGTTTAAGTATCACTTTCTTGGCTAGGCCTGCCCTCAACTTCTTTTAAATAATTCTCTTCTATTAGTCTCTATTTCAGTGCTTTGTTTCCTTCAAGGCATTATCATGATCTAGAATCACTTTTTTCTAGAATGATCCCCCCCCCAATTCTTTTCTCAGAATGTTAGCTCCATGAGGGCAAGGAATGTCTCTTGTTCATTGCTGTATTCCCCTGGCAAGACAGCCTTTCATAAATAATTGTTGAATGAATATGTAGAGAGAGCTCTTCTTTGAAATTTAAATAATTAAAATAATGTAAGAAACAGTTCTCTTACCTAATATCCTAATGATTATATTTCCTGAGGAAAATAAGTGAAAAGAAAAAGATGCCAACCATTCTTATGGTTAGGGAAAAATTATCTACCCTTTCTTTGATCCACCTTTAACATCAAAAGTTAAGTGGAAACTAGAGCAGAAATTATGATGGCTAGTTTTTCCTGACATTGGTTTTATATACAAGTGTTTATTGTTTTTTAGGTTAGATAATTTAATTTCAAAATGGTTATCCTGCGGCATTAACTCATTTTTTATATGTACATAATGTACTCACCTCACAAGTTTTGGGTGTCCTCTCACAGAAAACTTCTATTTTAATATCACCTACATCTGTATGCAGTGTCACTGACTAAAAAGGAGAAAAAAATGTAAGAACAAATGAGATTTCTCCATGACTTTATGTGCTGTATTATTTCCCCAACTAGATTAAAGATGACAATCTGAATGAAAACACAAAAAGAAATACCATTTCAGAGATGAACTGTCCACACAGCTGAAGAGTAAGCTGCACTTCCTCAAAATTTATTTCAACAGTAGGAAAAACTCCAGAAGATAAATATGTTAATGTAAAATGCTATCTACCCTAAACATTTTAACAACAAATATTGTGCTGGAAATACTTCTTTTAAGTATGAATTTTTCATCAGTAAAAATGAAAACAATGGTTAGTATCACTGATTTAAATGGCAACTCACCAACATCATTAATATATATTGAAAAATAGTAAGAAAACAACTTTTCAAAACAAAGTCTCCACCATTTCCCTATGTAATTTAATTACGAGAGTGTTAAAAACAATTCCTTTCTTCACTAAAGACAACAATCTTCTGTGTTTCTAGATCCTAAATGTGCAGAGGTAACCATATTACTCCTTGCTTATTTTTGTTTATCTGATGTTCCAGTAACTGGAACGTTCTTTTTGTTATTCCGTTGTGGGGTGGGGGTTACTCTGAGGCTTCCTTTTTCACTTCTCTTCTTCCAGTAGTATCTAGCAGTCAGAAAGTATGGTGGGTTGATAGAGGGTAGGAGTGTGTGAGTTGGAGGTAGGGTGAGAGGGAGACAGCATTATTCTCATTGCTTTTCTTCTATTTCAAGCTGCTCGTGCTCTCTCTCTCTGACAAATAAATAAAATCTTAAAAAAAAAAGAATTGTACAAAACTTACCATTTTTCTTCTTGATGGTTTCAGGAAGTACTACTGCTTAATTTCTCAGTCTTACCAAGAGAAGTTAGAAAACGTGTCTCTATTCCCAAAAGAGAAAATTAAGTTCATTTTCCTCTCCTAACTCACACATGCTCATTTTTACTGCTTATTTAAAAGAAAAAGTCTCGAATAGCACCCCCAATAATAAAAATCTGGTTATGGAAACGATAAGAACCTACCCGACACAAGCCCCTCAATATCCTACTTCCCCTGTTCACTATTCTTCAAAAGCCTCCCTGCAACTCTTCCAAGTCAGGTACATTTCCGCCTTAGGGTCTAGACACTGGGTGTTCTCTCTTTGGAGCACTTATACTCAGACATCTGGACAGTTATATTCCTCACATCCAAGTCTCTGGTAACTCTGTTTAAAACTGCCTTCACTCTAGTACCTGCCCAATTACCTTTTCCTATAGCACTTATCAATAATCCGCTATATATTTTTCTAATTAAGTCTGTTCCAATACCACCCTCCCCGCCCGGTATGCTCACTCGAAGCCCAAGAATTAAAACACAGAGCTTAGCAAGAGTCTCGGTAAGTGAATGAAAGAATGATGTTACTTACCACTTTAGTTAACACAGCTGTTGTTGAAAACAGAAAAGATGCCCTTGCATACACCGTTTCGAAATTAGTGTCTTCGGGCTACCGGAAGTCGAGCGCGGGACCCATTAGAACGCCCCTCACCTGCTCGCCTCCTTCCTTCCTATTTCAAACCAAAATGACTAGAACTAGGAAGACAAAGTAATTTATCCTCACCTGGTACGCTTTTGACAGTGAAAGGGAGCTCTTTTAATAATTATACAAGGACACGAAACGTAAACCGGAACCATTCCGGGCAACCTCTAGCCGTACTTCAGGCTCGGACGTAAAATGGGAAGGACCACTTCCGCCCGGCTCCTCTCCATCCCATCCTGCACTGCCAAGAGGCCCTGCGCAGGACCGGAAGTAGTGAGTCCAGTTGTCCCGTGCTGGGCGGTGGTTAGTGCACGCCCTGGAAGTTGTGAGGGTGCTTCTGGGAAAGAAGCCAGAGGAGGAGACAGGGGCAGGAAATTGGTTTGTGGCGTGATAGCATAGGGCGCTAGTGGGGAAGGAGTGCCGATTCGGGAGCTTCTGGCCGTGTTTGGCCTCTTCATTGTCCTGGAAAAGGTCGGAAGTGGGACTGAAATGAGAGGTAGATGAAGCCACGTAACAAGGTGCAGTTTGCAGGCTGTAAAGTGGGTCATGTTAATGTCGTTTAAAAACAGTGCTGACAGTAGGCATTGTTCCCATCTGTACGGTTAAATCTTGCGACCACACCGTAAGCGGGGCACTATTACTTTCATTCTTCAGAGGACAGCAGAGGTTAGGTAATTTGTTACACAGCTGTGGCTCTGGGAGTCAGTCTGGTTTCAGAGTCGGAGCTCTACCACCACGTGTGCCGCCTCCCATTGTTAATTGCGGCATGAAGCCGCGCAGCCTCGCAGTTTCCTGTCTGTGAAATGGAGGGTGTTCTGTTTGTTTTCAAGGGTTTTAAAATTTAGCAGTAAATAACTCAAAGCTGTGGTGGCCCACTAGGGCTTCACTTTCACGCCTGCCAGATTTAGAAGAGTCTGGAGAGCTGGGCAGTATCAGTACTTGGAATCGGAGAGGGAAAGTGGTGTAAGAACCACTTCCAAGACCCCAGGCTCCCTTGGATTTTGGAGGCTCCGCAGCATTTCAAATCAGATTCTGAATAAGTACACACATGTAGTAGTAAATATTTTTGCTGGAAAAAATACTTTTTTCAACAAATTTGTTAAATATTTTTGTTGAAAAATTTGTTTTTGAAATTACTGGATTACGAATACTTGGTTAAATTTACGATTGGCTATGCCTATCTTGTCTATGCACACTATGAATGCTGTTCTTCAAAAATAGAAATGATCCTGGATTCTTAATGGAGTTGATAGTTTTGTATAGGGCCTAGACACTGAAAGGGTTTGTCGAGAAAAGCTTTAGGAAGTTGAAGGAGACTTGGAAGGAAGGGTAGTATTTAGACAACTGGAGAAGGGAGGAGAGTGGTTGAAGCAAGGATGGGGAGAACAAGAATCAGGGCGTGTGTGAGGTCGAGGAGGTGGGGATGAACATTTGTGTATTATGTACCAGGCTCATGCTAGGTGACTTACACATATTAATTGATTTGCTCCTTTGAATGGCCTCTGATGTAGGTTATAGTGTCTACCATTTTGTAAATGAGAAAATAACCTCAGGTTAAATGACTTACGTAAGATACCGTGTCCTGGTAAGTGGCAGAATCAGTATTTGAACCCAGGAATATGTGACTACAGCTCTTGTACTCGTATGGTTTGCTCCAAGGAAGGTCCAGGCCTAACGTGTATCTGTGTACCCTTTTTCTGTGTTTTGACTTCAGACACTCAGTTTTGCCTGATTTCTGTATGTTGTCCTCTCCTGTACGCCTCATTCCCAGAACAATCCGGCTTGTTCATTCCCCGATCTGCAATTTTTCCCGTTCCTTCATGGATTTGAAGGTGCTCCTTTCCTCCTTGAATGACTTTGCATCCCTCTCACTTGCTGAGAGTTGGGACAATGTTGGATTACTGGTGGAACCAAGCCCACCGCACACTGTACACACACTCTTCCTTACCAATGACTTGACGGAGGAAGTAATGGAGGAGGCGCTGCAAAAGAAGGCGGATCTCATTCTCTCCTACCATCCACCTATTTTCCGACCCTTAAAGCACATAACCTGGAAAACCTGGAAGGAGCGCCTGGTGATCCGGGCTCTGGAAAACAGAGTCGGTATTTACTCTCCTCACACAGCCTATGATGCTGCACCCCAGGGAGTCAACAGCTGGTTGGCTAAAGGGCTTGGTGAGAAACCTCTTATTCTTTCATGTTTAATATTTTCCCTACAAGTGCTTTGAAATTTTAGAATGTCTTTCCAACAGGATTTTAACTGCTTTAGATGTGGGTACCATTATTTTATTTTTATATATTTAAAAATGTGAAATCTAGCAATTGTATTTGAGAAACGAAATTTTTATCCTTAATGAGTAAGGAGAGCATAGGAAATCTTCATTGCTGGATTGAGCTTTGTGAGTCCTCACTTATGTGGCACAGTGCCTAGCACCCAGAAATTCGAGAAGTGCTTGTTAAATTGAGTCGAGAGCTCAGACCTCCAGAATATACTTCATGTATCAGTTAAATAGACATCAGAGTTTTATTGAATGCTTGCTCAAGCCCAGTACAATGAGGACTTCAGTCTATGTGTTTTAGTTTTGTTTTTAGTAAGTTATTTTAGTTTACTCATTGGGGCTGAAGCTTTTATGATGACATACCTGGATTAATGTGGTCAAGTAGATTATGAGCATTTGCAACCTGAATGATGGTTTACATGAATAAATTTAGGAAGCAGTCACAATTCTGTATATCCTCTAAGAATTCATGAGTCAAGTTTTTGTGATATTTAAGAGTCTTCTGGAAAATAATTCTGAAAATAAATTTGATTTTGTATGTACTAAATCCCTAGATTATGGGAATTTAGGTATATATGTAAGGGATATGTGTGTATGTATTACATAAGTATCTGAGAATTGATCTTTAAAAACTCATTTCCTTAAAATTTTGCCCCTAACAGTTTATCTTTTTAATTAAAAGAAATAGTTTATCTTTTTAAGTAAAAAAATAGTTTATCTTTTTAATTAAAAAAAAAAAACCATTTTTTTCCTAGGAGTTTGCACCTCCAGGCCCATACATCCTTCCAAAGCTCCCAACTACCCCACAGCAGGGACACATAGAGTAGAATTCAGTGTTAACTGCACCGAAGACCTGGACAAAGTCATTTCTGCAGTGAAAGAAATTGCAGATGTTTCTATCACTTCTTTTCCTACTAGGTACGATATATTTTTCTCCTTTTTTGTGTATATTTATCTGTATGGATCTTATAAATTCTATAACTCTGGTATTTAGGTCTGAAACAAACTGTTTTCCCCCAGAATGAGTTTCTAAGGCAGCATACTTCTCATTTGCATGTGGGTGTTCCATGGGGTCTTTTTGAAACAATAAAAATGACAAGTAACACTTATTTATGTGGGAGGGACTGCGCTACACCTTTTACTTATAATATTTCTAGTTCTCCTGATAACATTGAAAGGTGGTTTTTACTTGAGAGTATATAGATAAATCCTACCGATAACACTTGATTACATGGGTTTACTTTCAGTTTCCAGCAAATCAGTGATTCCCAAGCACTTTTTATTTTTTTTTTAAGATTTTATTTATTTGACAGAGCGAAAGAGGGAACACAAGCAGGGGGAGCAGGAAAGGGAGAAGCAGGTTTCCCGCTGAGCAGGGAGTCCGATGCGGGGCTCGATCCCAGGACCCTGGGATCCTGACCTGAGCCGAAGGCAGATGCTTAACAACTGAGTCACCCAGGCGCCCCTCCCAAGCACTTTCTAAATTTTATTCATTTTTGGGCACCTGGGTGGCTGAGTCGGTTAAGCATCTGCCGTTGGCTCAGGTCATGATTCCAGGGTCCTAGGATCAAGCCCCACGTCGGGCTCCCTGCTCCATGGGCAGCCTGCTTCTCCCTCTCCCGCTCCCCCTGCTTGTGCTCTCTCTCTCTGTCAAAATCTTTAAAAATAAATAAAATTTATTTTTTATTTAAATTCAATTTAGTTAACATATACTGTATTATTAGTTTCAGGGGTAGAATTTAGTGATTAATCAGTTGTATTTAACACCCAGTGCTCATTACATCAAGCGCCCTCCTTAATGCCCATCCCCCCACCGAACTCCCCTCCAGCAACACTCCGTTTGTTCCCTAGAGTTAAGAGTCTCTTATGGTTTGCCTCCCTCTCTGTTTTCATCCTATTTTATTTTTCCTTCCCTTCCCCTATGTTCATCTGTTTTGTTGCTAAAATTCCACATATGAGTGAAATCATACAGTATGTCTTTCTCTGACTTATTTCGCTTAGCATAATGCTCTAGTTCTATCTACATCGTTGCAAATGGCAAGAGTTCATTGTTTTTGATGGCTGAGTAATATTCCATTGTATATGCATAGCATGTTTTCTTTATCTATCTGTTGATGGACATCTAGGCTCTTTCCATAGTTTGGCTCTTGTGGACATTGCTGCTATAAACTTTGGGTGCATGTGCCCCTTCTGATCATATATACCTTGGAATAAGCCTAACCAAAGAGGTCAAGGATCTATACTCTAGAACTACAGAACACTCATGAAAGAAATTGAAGAAGACACAAAAAGATGGAAAAACATGGATTGGAAGAATAAACATTGTTAAAATGTCTATCCCGCCCAGAGCAATTTACACTTTGTTTGTATCCTTTGGATAAATACCTAGGAGTGCAATTGCTGAGTCGTAGGGGAGTTCTATTTTTAAATTTTTGAGGAACCTGCATACTATTTTCCAGAGTGGCTGTACCATTTGCATTCCCAACAACAGTGTAAAAGGGTTCCCCCTTTCTCCACGTCCTCCCAAGTACTTTAAAGGGAAAAAACAAACCATTTGGGTGCCTCTTACAGGGCCAGTCATTTATTTAGGCAGAGATACCAAAATGGCATCTCATAGAAGATTTCCTTTGAAGCCAATCGATCCTAATGCCTTTTGAAACATGTTAAAAGACAAGTTACACAAAGCTGTAAATAATTGTTTAAAAAATAAAGATAAATATAATGATTTTAATAAAGTGGAAATCTTTATCAGGCTACAACAAAAAGTGATTCTTTCATGAGTGGTTTTTTTTTAAAGATTTAATTTATTTATTTGAGAGAGAGCGTGCACGCACACACACACACACACAAGCAGGGAGAGGGGCAGAACGAGAGGGAGACAAGCAGACTCCCCGCTGAGCAGGGAGCCCGATGTGGGCCTCAATCCCAGGACCATGAGATCATGACCTGAGCCAAAGGCAGACGCTTAAACAACTGAGCCACCCACGTGCCCCTTATGAGAGGTTTTTAAGTGTAGACACCTTATAATTAAATTGTAAATGTTTTCTAATAGTGTTGAGGAATTTAAAGAATCTCAAGAGAAATTATAGGACTTTATAGATTCCAGTCATGGCGGTCTTTTACCATATTAAAATACTGTGTAAATACCAAAATTAAAAGAAAATGATACAAATCATGAAAATTTCAAACAATACAAAAGTCCTCCTTGTTCCTTTTACTCAATTCCAGTATCTTCAATGCAAATCATCTTTTCCTTGTTTTCAGAGAAGTGGGTATCTTTTCATACGTATGCAGGGATATGAAGAAATGCATAGTTGTTTTTTTTTTTTCCCCTTAATGGTATGCTGCATTTGCCTTTTTTTTATTTGCCAGGGTGTCTTAGAGATCATCCCATATAGTTATAGAAGATCTCTTTACCTGCTGTGTAGTGTTTATTTTAGATGTACTGGGTTTCTTTAAGCGTTCTTCTTCCTAACTGATGAGTTTTGTTTTTTTTTTAACTGATGCACATTTGGTTTTAGTTTTTCCCTATTACAGGTAATATCTCGGCTTTACCATTAGATTGGGGTCCAGGCAGTTTTTCTTTTCAAAGCTCCACAGATGGTTCCAGGGTTGACAACTGCACCTCCAGATTCTTTTAAGGTGTTTTTTAGTTCTAGAATTCTAGGATTATATTTAGAGTTTATGGTTAAATACAAAACTTTCCTGATGCCAATCTTTTTGGATAGTCTCTAGGGCATTGCTTTTCAGAGGGTGACTCAAGGACCCCCTACATCATTGTTAATGGGATGCTTATGAAAAATGCACATTTTTGGCTTTTCATCCTAGATCTATGTAATTAGAATTGGGTTTGCCTGAAAATCTGTCCCAGAGATACTTGTATTCAGTACTATTTGAAAGTTAACTTCTGTAGGGCCTGAAAAAATTCAGTTTGCCCTACTCCCATTCGTAGAATTTGTGTTTCACTGGATCTTTAGAAGGGTCCAGCGGCTATCATTTTAAGAAGCTAGCAGATTGCTGATGCACACCTGGGATTAAGAATAGTTCTCTAACAGGGCCCCTGGGTAGCTCAGTAGGTTAAGCATCTGCCTTTGGCTCATGTCATGATTCCAGGGTCCTAGGATTGAGCCCCGCATCGGGCTCCCTGCTCAGCGGAGAGTCTGCTTCTCCCTCTCCCTCTGCTGCTTCCCCTGCTCTGTGCTCTCTGTCAAATAAATAAAATAAAATAAAATTAAAAAAGGAATAGTTCTATAACAGTGGTTTCAAAGTGAGGTCCCTGCGTCAGCAACCTCAGCATCACCTGGAGCTTGTTAGAAAGGTAAATTCTCAGATCCCCACCTAGACCTACTGAATCTGAAACTCTGGGGGTAAAGCTCAGCAATCTGTGTTTTAATAAGTCTACAAGGAGAATTTGCGGTGCCTTGGTTGTGCAGTGGGGTTAAGCATCTGACTCTTGGTTTCCGTTCGGGTCGTGATATCAGGGTCATGAGATCAAGCCCAGGATCTATACTGAACACAGAGCCTGCTTGACATTCTCTTTCCCTCTCCCTCTCCCCCTCCCGCTAATGCTCTCTCTCTCTCAAATAAATCTTTAAAAAAAAAAATCTATAAGGAGATTTTGATGCATGCTGAAGTTTGAGGAATATTATTCTAGAAAATGGTTTGGGATTGAATCCTAAATTTCATGTAATTTAATCTCTATTTCAGGAGGTTGTAAACTGGATTGTTTAAAATACGATTCAGAGGGCACCTGGGTGGCTCAGTCAAGTGTCTGGTTAAGCATCTGATTCTTGGTTTCAGCTCAGGTCAAGATCTTAGGGTTGTGAGATTGAGCCTCGTGGCAGTGAGGCCCAAACTCAGCACAAAGTCTGCTTGGGATTCTCTCTCCCTCCCGCTCTGCCCCTTCTCTTGTGAGCACATGCTTGCTTTCTCTCTCTCTCAGATAAATAAATAAAATCTTTACGAAAAATAAAATACATTTCGCTTACATTTATCCTAAAGGAGCAAGTGATTTTTTTTTTTTTAATAGGACTGATGATGAAGAACAAACACGGATTAGTCTGAATTGCAGTCAGGAGGCTTTGATACAGGTGGTGGCTTTTCTTTGCCAGAGCAGACAGTTCTATCAGAAGACCGAAATTCTGTCACTGGAGAAGGTAATAAAAATATATTACTGTGCATTTTTGATGGATTCATTTGTAAATTGTTAGATTGACAGGCTGTTTACTTAAGCACAAGGTGGTGTTGAGTGCATAAAATACCCTGAAAAATATATTGAGAAAGGAAGACATTCCAGGAGTGGAAAAGTGTTGGTAGATGTTTAGTCTGTTCGGGCTGCTATAACACATTTGGGCTCTATGTGGATAGCTTTTGAAGAACAGAAATGTATTTCTCACAGTTTGGGAGGCTGGGAAGTCCAAGGTAATGGTACCAACAGATGTGGAGTGGTATCTGGTGAGGGCCCACTTCCTGGTTCATCAGTGGCGCCTTCTCTCTGTGTCCTCACATAAAGGGAAGGACTAGGGATATCTCTCGGAGGCTATTTTATAAGCGAATCCCAGTCATGTGGGCTCCCCACTCATGACTTAAGTACCCCCCAAGGGCTCCACCTCTTAATACCATCACCTTTGGGGGTTAGGATTTCAACATATCAATTTGTGTGGGGCAGATACATTCAGGTCATAGCAGTGCCATACTTTAAAAAAAAGTTCTGGTTTTGGGGTACCTGGGTGGCTCAGTCCGTTAAGTGTCCGTCTCTTGGTTTTGGTTCAGGTCATGATCTCATGAGGTGGGTCATGAAGTGGGGCTCCACGCTGGGTGTGGATCCTGCTCAAGACTCCCCCTCCCCCCAAGCTCACATGTGTGCTCTCTCTCAAAAAAAAGTAATAAAAAATAATTTTAAAGATTCTGTTTTTGTTTTTTTTTTTAAGATTTTTAAAAAAATCTATTTAGTTGAGAGAGAGAAACAAGCAGGGTGAGGGGCAGAGGGAGAAGCAGACTCCCCACTGAGCAGGGAGCCGGTTGCAGGGCTTGATCCCAGGACTCCAGGATCATGACCTGAGCTGAAGGCAGATGCTTAACCGACTGAGCCACCCAGGCACCCCTAAAGATTCTGTTTTTTATTGAAGTGTAGTTGATACCTAGTATTACATAGCAGTACTTTTTAGGGTTAGAGACTCCGTTACAGGTTATAGATTCTATCTCTTTTATACCCTCTGCCTGGACCATTTTATTTGCTCCTTTAACAACTGACCGCTATTTATATAATGATTCCTATATCTTGATTTTTCTGGCTCAGAATGCTTTCTTAAGGTAAAAAGTTAAACCCATATTTCCAGGGACTCTGTGGACATTTTCCTCCTAATGGATCCCACAGGTACTTCAATATATACAAATACTGACCTTATCTCCTGTATCACCTGGAGATACATCATAGTGTATCTCCTGTATCACCCCTTTATTTTTATTTATTTATTTTTTTAGAGAGAGCATGCACACCCGTGAGAGCAGGGGTTGGGGGGAGGGGCAGAGAGAGGGGGAGAGAGAGACTCTTAAGCAGGCTCCACCCTGAGATCATGACCTGAGCCGAAGTCAAGAGTTAGATGCTTAACTGACGGAGCTGCCCAGGCGCCTCTACATCACCCCTTTAAATATTTTTTCTGTTTCAATGGTGGCGTCATCATCTACCTTATTTTCCAAGTTTCCACAACTCTGCCTTGCCTCTCATAAATCCAAGCCCTGCTGATTCTGTCCCCAAATCAAAACTGTCTCTTCTCTATTTGCTTTGTCATCGTAGTAGTTGAAACTCTCATCTTTCGTCACCTGGGAGTTAAGTAGTCTCCCTAGTGGGCACCTGAAAGAGACAGTCCATGCTTTCGGGCATAGTGTACAAAGCCTTCATGACTGGCTATGCCTTCTGTCCCTAGCCCTGCTCTGCACACCAGCTAGAGTGTCTGCTCTTGGATCCACCGTGAGCTTATGCCTTCCACATTTCACCCTATCCCTTTCCTACTACACTGCACTTACCATCACTCCTTTTTTTTTTTTTTTTTTTTTACCTTTTTTCTGATCTGGGAGACCCAAGTCTCTGTAAAACCTTTGATTCCAGGAGCCTGGGTGGCTCAGTCAGTTAAGCATCTGCCTTCGGCTCAGGTCATGATCCCAGGGTCCTGGGATCGAGCCCCACATCAGGCTCCTTGCTCCGCGGGAAGCCTGCTTCTCCCTCTGCCTGCCGCTCCCCCTGCTTGTGTTCTTTTTCTCTCTCTGACAAATCTTAAAAAACAACAACAAAAAGAACCCCTTTGATTGCACTTCCTCCAAGTACCCCCACGCCAAGTACCAGCTCATTTATTTTGTGGTTTCTTTGTGCTTCCATAAAATAGCACCTCTCTTGTATTTAAACACTTTTATTATGATTAGTTATCTAAACCTTTGCCTTTCCAGAAGACTGAGCTCGTAGAAGTCAGAGAATGTTTTTGTCAGGTTTGCATCCCGAGACTTTAGCCTGGTGCTGGCTATAGTAAGCTCACAGTGTGCATGTTTTATTCTCATCATTTGCTGTTTATTTTCTAGGACGAAGAGGATAGTTTTTCTAACTTCTCTTTCTCCTCAGCCTCTGCTTCTACATACTGGAATGGGACGGTTATGCACACTGGATGAATCTGTTTCCTTGGCAACCATGATTGAGCGGATCAAAAGGCACCTTAAACTATCTCATGTTCGCCTTGCTCTTGGGGTAGGAAGGACCTTAGGTAAATATGTACCGTTTATTTGTCCGGTGTATCTACTAATGTAGTATTATGTAGTGTTTGGGCAAAAGTTGAAGCTCTTGGTTATAGTCATATAAGTGACAGGAAACATGTTAGCTCATGGGAGATGACTGGTTTATTTTATCAGTCAGAGTGGGCTAGGTTATGCTGTGGTATACATCTTATTGGCTCAAACAAGATTTATATCTCTCTCATATTTGGTGTTCATTTCAAGTCAGCAGCAGAAGTCTCCTCACTGTAGACTGATTTCTGTTGCAGAGGGAGAGTTTTGGAGGGTCTTAAAGCATCAATTAAGTATTCTAGCCTGGAAATGATACATTTTCTGTTCAACTCATTGTCCAGAATTAATCACATTGCCAGTACAAGTCAGGGCATGAAATGCAGTCCTACCATGGGCCAAGAAGAGAGCTGGAAATTGTTATTGCTGCAATTAACAATGCAAATGTTATATTTTACAATACTGGTGATATTTTATAATGAGGTGCAAAGTGACCCACTGCAGTTTGAGTCTTATAGCCACTTCCTTGTCTTTTGGCTTTTCCCAGTATTTGGGGGAACAAAGGAAGTGAACAGACCCATTTGTCCTGCAGTGAGCCTAGCAGTGTACTGAACGTCCTAAGTATGTGAATTCCCACTGCAAAGGCAGTGAGTGGGGCATACTTGTTCTGAGTGTGGATTCTGAATGCCTTGGGTTCAAATTTGTCCTATTTGCTGCATGACTTTGACGAGTCAGTGAACACCTCTGTGTCATGGTAGGCTCATCTGTTAAAACTGCAGTAACAATAAGAAAACCTTACTCATCAAGTTAGTCTAAGCCATGTGACAGGGCACAGTGACTGGCATACATTAAGTATAGTACATGCTAGCTGTTAATTATGTGGGAGGTATTATTATTCCCATTATATTACAGGTTCAGACAAATAGGTAACTTAGTCCCCAAACAACTCATGGAAGTTAGTTTCCAAAGAAAATGGGTGACAGAGATGGGATTTGACTTCTGATCCAACCGTAAAGCTGCTTTTTTGATTTTTTTCTTTCAGACTTAACATTTTTATGTTATTTATTGATTTAATTTTTTAAAGATTTCTTTATTTTGGAGAGAGAGCAAGCACGCACGCATGTGGATGTGTGTGGGGGGTGGGGTCGGGAGGGGCAGAGGGAGAGGGAGAGACAATCCCAAGCAGAGGCTGCGCTGAGCACGGAGCCTAATGTGGGACTTGATCTCATGACCCTAAGATCACAACCTGAGTTGAAACCAAGAGTCGGACGCTTAACCAACTGTGCCACCCTGATGCCCCTGTTTCATTTATTTTTTAATTGAAATATACTTAACGTACAATGTCATATTAGTTTCAGGTGTTCAACAAGTCTGTAGACGCTGCTGTGCTCACTAAGTATGCCTACCAGTCTGTCACCGTACAACACTATTACAATACCAGTAACCATTTTCCTTGTGCTGTGCCTTTTGTCCCCATGACTTACTCATTCTGTAACTGGACGTGTCTCCTACTCCCCTTCACATATTTTGCCCATTCCCCCTCTCCTCTGGCAACCATCTGTTCTCTGTATTTATGGCTCTCCTGCTTTTTATTTCTTTCTTTTGTTTTTTTTTAGATTCCATGTATGAGTCCTCATTATGGTATCTGTCTTTCTGTCTGACTTATTTCACCTAGCATAATACCCTCTAGGTCCATCCATGTTGTTGCAAATGGCAAGATCTCCTTTTTTGTGGCAGAGTAATGTTTCATTATGTATACTTACCACATTTTTCTCCGTTTATCTGTTGATGAACATTTAGGTTGCTTCCTTAGCTTGGCTGTTGTAAATAATGCTGCAGTAAATATAGGGGTGCATATGTCTTTTCAAGTTTGTGTGTTTATTTTCTTTGCGTAAATAGTAGTGGGATTACTGGGTCATATGGTATTCTATTTTTAATTTGTTGAGGAACCTCCATACTGTTTTCCACAGTGGCTGCACCAGTTTGCATTCCCACCAACAGTACATGAAGGTTCCTTTTTCTCCACATCCTTGCCAACACTTGTTATTTCTTGTCTTTTTGATTTCATCCTTTCTGACAGGTGTGAATGATACCTCCTTGTGGTTTTTGATTTGCATTTCTCTGACGATGAGTATCTCTTCACATGTCTGATGGCCATCTGTATGTCTTTGAAAAATTGTTCAGGTTTTCTGCCCATTTAAATCGGACTTTTTGTTTTTTTAGTGTTGAGTTGTATAAGTTCTTAATATTTGGATGTTAACCTGTTTTTGGATTTATCATTGCAAATATCTATTCCCCTTCCAGTAAATTGCCTCTTCCTTTTGTCGATGGTTTCCTTTGCTGTGTAAAAGTTTTTTGTTTTTTGTTTTTTTTTTTTAATTAAGATTTCATTTTTTTGAGAGAGAGCAAGAGAGCAAACACAGTCAGGGTGAGGGGCAAAGGGAGAGTCAGACTCCCTGCTGAGCAGGGAGCCCAATGTGGGGCTCAATCCAGGACTCCAGGATCATGACTTGAACCAAAGGCAGATGCCTAACTGGCTGAGCCACCCAGGTGTCCCTGTGCAAAAGCTTTTTATTTTGGTGTCGTTCCAGTAGTTTATTTTTGCTTGTGTTTACCTGGCCTCAGGAGACCTATCTAGAAAAGTATTGTTAAGGCCACTGTAAGAGAAATGATTGCCGGGGCGCCTGGGTGGCTCAGTTGGTTAAGCGCCTGCCTTCGGCTTGGGTCATGATCCCGGGGTCCTGGGATCCAGCCCCGCATCGGGCTCCCTGCTCGACGGGAAGTCTGCTTCTCCCACTCCCACTCCCCCTGCTTGTGTTCCCTCTCTGTCTCTCTGTCTGTCAATTAAATGAATAAAATCTTAAAAAAAAAAAAAATTACTGCCTAAGTTTTCTTTTAGGAGTTTTATGGTTTCAGGTTTCACATTTAAGTTTTTACTCCATCTTGAGTTTATTTTTGTGTATGGTGGAAGGATAGGGGTCCAGTTTCATTCTTTTGCATGTAGCTGTCCAGTTTTCCCAGCATCATTTGTTGAACGGACTTCTTCCCATTGCATATTCTTGCCTCCTTTTTTGAAGATTAATTGACCATATATAAATGTGGGCTTATTTCTGGGCTCTATTCTGTTCCATTGATCTATGTGTCTCTTTTTGTGCCAGTACCATGCTGTTTTGATTATTAAACCTTTGTGGTATATCTTGAAATCAAGAAGTGTGATGCCTCCAGCTTTGTTCTTTCTCAAGATTGCTTTGGCTATTCAGAGTCTTTTATGATTCCATACAAATTTGAGTATTATTTGTTCTAGTATCATGAAAAATGCTGTTGGTAATTTGATAGGGATTGCATTGAATCTGTAGATTGCTTTTGGTAGTATGGACATTTTAACATTCCATTATCAAATCCATGATAATGGATTATCTTTCCATTTGTGTCATCTTCAATTTCTTGTAACAGTGTTTTATAGTTTTCAGAGTGCAGGACTTTCACCTCCTTGGTTAAGTTTATTCCTATTTTATTATTTTTGGTGCAATTGTAAATGGAATTGTTTCCTTAACTTCTCTTTCTGCTACTTCATTATTAGTGTATAGAAATGTAACATTTCTATATATTTTGTATTTTGCAACATTATTGAATTTATTACTTTTAATGGTTTTTTGATGGAGTCTTGGGGTTTTTTTGTATACTATCGTGTCACCTACAAATAGAGTTTTATTTCTTATCAATTTGGATATCTTTTATTTCTAGTTTGATTGCTATGACTAGGACTTCTGGTGGCAAGAGTGGGCATTCTTGTCTTATTCCTGAGCTTAGAGGAAAAGCTCTCAGTTTTTCACCATTGAGTATGATGTTAGCTGTGGGTTTCTACATATATGGCCTTTATTATGTTGAGGAATGTTTGCTCTAAACCCACTCTGTTGAACAGATGTTGAATTTTGTCCAGTGCTTTTTCTGCAGCTATTGAGATGATCATATGATTTTTATCCTTCACTTTGTTAACATGGTGTATTACATTGATTTTATGACTATTGAAGCATCCTTGCATCCCTGTAATAAATGCTACTCGATCGTGGTGAATGTATTGTTGAATGTGGTTGGCTAATATTTTGTGGAGGATTTTTGCATCTGTGTTCACTGGGGATATTGGCCTGGAGTTTGGGAGTGTCTTCGTCTGATTTTGGAATTGGGGTAATGCTGGCCTTGTACAATGTATTTGGAAGATTTCCTTCCTCTTCTATTTTTTGGAATAGTTTGAGGAGAATAAATATTAACTCTTGTAGAATTCACCTGTAAATTCATCTAGACTTGTATTTGTTGGGAGTTTTTTGATTATCAATTCGGTTTTGTTACTAGTAATCAGTCTGTTCAGATTTTCTATTTATTCCTGATTCAGTTTTGGAAGATTGTGTATTTCCAGGAGTTCATCCATTTCTTCTGCGTTGTTCAGTTTGTTGGCATGTAATTTTTCGAAGTAGTCTCTCATCCTTTGTATTTCTTTTGTGTCAGTTGTTACTTTTCATTTCTGATTTTTTAAATTTGGGTCCTCTCTGTTTTTCTTGAGTCTGGCCAAAGGTTTATCAATTTTGTTTATCTTTTCAAAGAAACGAATCTTGGTTTCACTGATCTTTCCTACTGTTGGGTTTTTGGGTGTTTTTTTTTTTTTTTAGTCTTTTTCATTTATTTCTGCTCTGCTCTTTTATTTCCTTCCTTCTACTGACCTTGGGTTTTGTTCTTTTCCTAATTCCTTTAAGTGTAAGGTTAGATTGTTTACTTCAGATATTTCTTGTTTCTTGAGGTAGGCCTGTATCACTGTAAATCTTCCATAGAACTGCTTTTGCTGAGTCTCAGATTTTGGACCATTGTGTCTTCATTTCCATTTGTCTCTCTGTATTTTTTTATTTCTTCTTTGATTTCTTTGTTGACCCATTGGTTGTTTAGCTTTCACATATTTGTGGTTTCTTCCAGTTTTTTTCTTGTGATTGATTACTAGTTTCATGCCTTGTGGTCTGAAAAGATGCGTGATTTGATTTCATTCTTAAGTTTAGAGACTTCGGGGCAGCTGGGTGGCTCAGATGGTTAAGTATCTGCTTTCAGCTTAGGTCATGATCTCAGGGTCCCGGGATTGAGCCCCACATTGGGCTCCCTGCTTGGCGAGGAGTCTGTTTCTCCCTCTCCTTCTACTGCTCTCCCTGCTTGTGCTCTTTCGCTCTCTCTGTCAAATAAATAAAATCTTTAAAAAAAATTATTGAGACTTGTTTTGGGGCCTAACATGATTTATCCTGGAGAATCTTCCATGTACACTTGAAAAGAAGGTGTATTCTGGTTTTTTTGGGATGGAATGTTCAATGTATATCTGTTAGGTTCATCTGGACTAATGTGTCATGCAAAGACAGTTTTGTTATGGATTTTCTGCCTGGATGATTTATCCATTGATGTAAGTGGGTGTTAAAGTTCCCTACTATAATGGTATTACTGTCAAGTTTTCCTTTTATGTCTGTTAATATTTGCTTTATGTATTTAGGTGCTCCGATGTTGGGTGCATAGATATTTATAATTGGTATATCTTCTTTTTGCATTGATCCTTTATCATTATGTAATGCCCTTCTTTGTCCCTTGTTAGTCTTTGTTTTAAAGTCTGTTTTGTCTGATGTAAGTGTTGCTACCTTGGCTTTTTTTTTTTTTCTTCCATTTGCATGGTGTATCTTTTTCCATTTCTGCTCCTTCATTTTGTATGTGTCTTTAGGTGTGAGGTGAGTCTCTTGTAGGCAGCATATAGTTGGGTCTTTTGTTTTATCTGTTCTGCTACCCTAAATTTATTGATTGGTGCATTTAGACCATTTACATTTAAAGTAATTACTGATAGGTATGTACTCACTGTTATTTAGTTTCTGGTTGTTTATGTAGTTCTTCTCTGTTCCTTTCTTCTCTTGCTCCCTTTCCTTGTAATTGATGATTTTCTTTAGTGTTAGCTTGGCTTTCTTTTCTCTTCATTTTTTGTGTGTCTGTTAGAGGTTTTGTGTTTGTGGTTACCAGGAGGTTTGCATCAGGCTCCACGCTCAGTGGGGAGTCTGCTATAGAATCCTAAGTATATAGCCATCTATAATAATGTGATGGTCACTTAAGTTGGAACACATTTTGTTTTTAAATTTATTCATTTTAGAAAGAGAAAGTGAGCAAGTGGGGGGGGCAGAGGGAGAGAGAATCCTGAAGCAGGCTCCCCGCTGAGCACGGAGCCCCATGTGGGGCTCAATCCCAGGACCCCAAGATCATGACCCAAGCCGAAATCAAGAATTGGCTGCCCAGCTGACTGAGACACTCAGGTGCCCCGGTTGGAACTCATTTTAAAAGAACTTCTTTTTTACTCCCTCCTCCATGTTTTTTGTATACATTATCTTATTTTACTTCTTTTTATTCATAACTTACTTCTAATTACGGCTTTTTCTTTTCCACGTAAAGAAGTTCTTTAATATTTTTTGTAAGTCTGGTTTAATGGTGGTGAGCTCCTTCAACTTTTGCTTGCCTGGGAAGCTCATTTTATCTTTCCTTCAAATCTGAATGATAATCTTGCTGGGTAGATTTTTCTTGGTGGTAGGTTTTTTTCCATTTAGCACTTTAAATATATCCTGAACATTTCCTTTTGGCCTGCAAAATTTCTTCTGAAAATCAGCTGATAAAATTCTCTTTTAGTCTTTGACATTTTAATTATTATGTGTCATGGTATGGACCTCGGGTTCATTTTGTTTGAACTGTCTGTGCTTCCTGAACTTGAATGTCTGTTTCCTTCTTCTGATCAGGGAAGTTTTCAGCTATTATTTCTTCAAGTAAGTTTTCTGCCTCTTTCTTTCTCACTTCTCCTTCTTGGACTCATATAATGCTAATGTTTGTTAGCTTGATGTTGTTGAAGAGATCCCTTACTGTATCCTCGTTAAAAAAATGTTTTTCTTTTTGCTGTTCAGGTTGGGTGTGTTCCATCACCTTGTTTTTCAGATCACTGATCCATTCTTCTGCATCCATTAATCTGTTGATTTCCTCTAGTGTATTTTTCATTTCAGTTATATTCTTCAACTCAGATAGGTTCTTTATGTTTTCTGTCTCTGTGTTGAAGTTCTCACTGAGTTCTTCCACTCTTCTCTGCAGTCTGGTGAGCATTATTATGACCATTTCTTTAAACTCTGCCTGGCATATTGCTTATCTGTGTTTCATTTAGTTCTTTTTCTGAGGTTTCGTCTTGTTCTTTCATTGGGAATTTACTCCTCAGTCTCCTTGTTTTGCTTGGTTTTCTGTGTTCATTTCTGTGAATTAGGCGGAACAGCTACTTCTCCTAAACTTGAAGGGATGGTCTTGTGTATGATCATCCCTGTGTAGGCTGTATGTGCCCGGTGACTTTGGCTGGCTGGCTGGAGTGGTGTCTGGCATGATCTGGGAGTCCCAGGGTACTCTGTGCTGGGGCTATCCTAGTGGGGTGGCAGGAGCTAAAGTGGGCATGGACCAGGATGGTCCTGAGGCTCTCAGAGAATGGCCTGGTAGGACAGCTGAAGCTGAAGTGGGTGCACACTGGGGGGGTGTCCCTCGGCTCTCAGTGTAGAGGGCATCCTGGCAGGATAACTGAAGCTGAAGTGGGTGTAAGCCGAGTGTCCCAGGGTGCTCTGTGCAGGGGGTGCCTTAGTGGGGCAGCTGGAGCAGAGGTGGGGAGTGGGCTGGGGAGGTCCCAAGGTGCTTTATGCAGGGGCACCCTGGCAGGACAGCTGTAGCTCAAGTGGGTACAGGGCTGGGGATCCCGGGGCTCTCCATGCAGAGAGCCCCTCTTTTAAAATACCCCAGGGTGTGCCTGGGTGGCTCAGTCAGTTAAGTGTCTGACTCTAGATTTTGGCTCAGGTCATGATCTCAGGGTCCTGGGATCAAGCCCTGCATCAGGCTCCACGCTCAGTGGGGAGTCTGCTTGAGGATTCTCTCTCCCTCCGCCCCAACCCTGGTCACCCTCGCACACACACTCTCTCTCTCTCAAATGAATAAATCTTTAAAATACCTCTAATGTAGTGACCACTAATGAAGTGTCCATTCTAGAAGCCTTAGGGGCTAAATACTTGTTGGATTTGGGCTTCAAAGTTTGTTATTTTGCTCTTCAACTCTTCAGAAGTTGTTCTTTTAGAGTAAATATATTTTAAAATATATGTCAAATCAACTTGTAGCATTCCTTTAGCTGTTTTGGTTCCTCACCTGAGAACAGAGATCGTACCTGCCTACCTTTCACTGTTGCATGGAAACCCAGGAGAGGTCACTTTACCTAGCAGCAGGGATAAAGCCTAGAGCTGCGCAGTTAGCACTGTTCAGTGGTACCTTCCGTGGACTTGTGCAGCCACATACATCTGAAGAAATAACAGCCCTGTGTTGGGTTATTTATGCAATACCAAAGAATAATCTGCTTGTTTCTATGAAGACATGTTTTGTTATTTTTTAAAATTCAGTAAGCAAAGTTGTACTGGTGATGAGACCAGACTGAAATCTGTATTACATGAAGGATTCTTGATACCAATTATAATGCTAAAATGAAGGGGAATTGTAAAGTATTGGTTTTCTTGTCTCCTTTATCCTGAAGAGTCTCCAGTCAAAGTTGTGGCCCTGTGTGCTGGTTCTGGGAGCACGGTGCTGCAGGGGATGGAGGCCGACCTTTACCTCACAGGTAGGACAGCCTTTGGGTCTCCTTTTCTTTTTTTGTGTGTATCCTTTCCCAACCTTGGTATATGTTTTACAAGATAAAAAATAGATTTTAGGACAGCACTTGGTATATAAATGGATCTAATAGCTGTTGTTTGAACCTGAACTAAACAGGAACCACACTGAAATTGGAGACAGATCATATTCTTTGTAGAGGGAAAAAAAAAATCATTTAGCAGTTTATTACTAGATTATCTAAAAGACTGATGTTGAGCATTTATTTAACCTTCTTCCTACACATGATTTCTTTTACTGGGACACTTTCTACCTTTCCACCTTAGCCAGAAAATGGTTCTTACTCAGCCCTAGAGCCAGTCATTAGTTCCTGTCAGTTCTAGCTCCAGAATCTTCACAGAGCCTTTCCTCTTGTCTCTACTCAGGCATCATCTCCTACCTGAAATACTTTGGTAAGTCCCTAATCTTAGTCTTCCACATACGCCCCCCAAATTAACTGTTGTTCACAAGTACAGATTTGATGGGGTGTAGTATTACCCTAGGTACAAAGCCTTCAGCGATTTCCTTTCTGTGTCTTGGGCAAGCCTGAACGTCCGTCCTCTTCGATGCAGCCTCTGCTTATGCCATTTTCTCCAGCTGGAATGCCTTTCTGGCCCCTTCCTTTATACTTGTAGCGATAAGCTCAGATACCTCCTCGGAGAAGCTTTTCCCGTCACTGTCTGGTTCCTGCCCTGATGGCATGCCTTCCTCTCCAATCCCTGTCACTTTGTCCTTCACCTCTAGGATGCATTTCTTTTGGACAGTAATTGTTTGGCACCCAGGCTTGACATTCTGTCCTAGAGGCTAACATCTAATAGGTAACATGGCCTCTTGTTCAAAGGATTTGGAGACACTTGATACACTTGCTGATAACAGCTGCATTTCCAACTCTGTTCCTCCTTAGGGTTACGAGAGAGGGAGTTAATTACTTTTTCCAGGGTACCTGGCTGGCTCAGTCAGTAAAGTATGTAACTCTTGGTCTTGGGGTTGTAAGTTCGAGCCCCCACGTTGGGTACAGAGATTACTTAAAAATAAGATCTTTAAAAAAAAAATTACTTTTTTGACTTCTAGGACCAGAATCCAGGGTCTTAACCCCCTGGCCATTCCCATGGCTACTTCCTAAGCCTCTGCATTATTACTCCTCTCCTGCCCCCCATGTCCGTGCCCCTTATCTAGCACACCCTCCTTCAGAGGCTGCTGAACTTAACATTGTCACATCTGGAAATATAGAGGTGCAGCATCTGAGCAAGCCTGATGTAATTGCTCTGAACTTATTAAAAATATACACAACCATTACCCGTTTTCTATTCTTCTAAAGATGTATAATTTTTATAAGCCTTCCAACTTGTACCAGATTGAAGTAAACTTTCAGGGGAGCCTGAGTGGCTTAGTTGTTAAGTGTCTGCCTTCGGCTCGGGTCATGGTCTCGGGGTCCTGGGATTGAGCCCCGCATCGGGCTCCCTGGTCAGTGGGAAGCCTGCTTCTCCCTCTCCCACTCCCCCTGCTTGTGTTCCCTCTCTCGGTGTCTCTCTCTCTCTGTCAAATAAATAAATAAAATCTTTAAAAAAAAAAAAAAAGGAAAAAGCTTTCAATGCATGAGCAATTTGACAGACTATCTTATAGCATTATATGACTAATTTTAGTATTTATTTATTGTTTTAATTTTTTAAATATTTATTTTAGAGAGCAAAAGCGAGCAGGGGAGGGGTAGAGGAGAGAATCTTCAAGCTGACTCCCTGCTGAGCATAGAGACTGACCTGGGGCCCGATCCCACAACCCTGAGATCATGACCTGAGCTGAAACCAAGAGTCGGATGCTCAACCAGCTGAGCCACCCAGGTCCCCATGACTATTTTAAAGTTAACTGTAGGGGCACCTGGGTGGCTCAGTTGGTTAAGTGTCTAACTCTTGGTTTCAGCTTGGGTCATGATCTTAGGGTTGTGGGATCGGGTCCCGCATCAGGCTTCTTGCTCAGCAGGGAGTCTGTCTCCCTCTCCCTCTGCTCTTCTCCCTGCTCTCTCTTTCTCTCTCACTGTTAAATAAATAAATCTTAAAAAAAATGTAAGGGGCGCCTGGGTGGCTCAGTTGTTAAGCATCTGCCTTCAGCTCATGTCATGATCCTGGGATTGAGACCTGCATCGGGTTCCCCGCTCTGCGGGAAGCCTGCTTCTCCCTCTCCCACTCCCTCTGCTTATGTTCCCTCTCTCGCTGTGTCTCTCTCTGTCAAATAAATAAATAAAATCTTTAAAAATATATATATATAATTACAGCATTTTACTTTGAAGAAATTTCAGACTTGTAGAAAAGTTGCAAGGATAGTACAATGAACTTTTGTATGCCTTTCACTTAAGATTACTAATGGTTATGGGGCACCTGGGTGGCTTAGTTGGTTAAATGTCTGACTCTTGATCTCGGCTCAGGTCTTGATCTCAGGGTCGTGAGTTCAAGCCCTATATTGGGCTCCACACTGGGCATGGAGCTACTTAAAAAAATAAATGAATAATAAAGATTACTGATGGTTATATTTTGCTACATTTGCACATTCTGTGTCACATATATATGTGTGTGTATAAATATTTATGGGTGTGTGTATAAATATATTTCTGTTTATGTGTTTCCCCCAAAACCATTTTGTAATAAATTGTATACATGACCTTTTATCTTATCCCTAAATACATCAGCATATGTCTCCTAAGGATGAAGACATTATATGACCATGCACAGTGATGAAATACAGGAATTTAATATTGTTAAAACACCTATTTAATATGTAGTCTATATTTAAATTTTGCCAGTTGATCAGAATTGTATCATTTCTTTTTCTGATTGGTATCTAGTCCCTCCCTGGTCACTGCATCTAGAATGCATCTTTGTCCAGAGCACTGTCATTTTTGAAGAGTATAGACCATTTGTTTTGTGGCATATCTCTCAGTTTGGGGCATGTGATTGTTTTCTCATAAATAATGACTTTCTTAAAACTAGGTTTTTTTTTTTTTTTAACTATTAAGCAATATGTGCAAAGATAAATTAATGCAATTCAAAATTGTTAAAATAGCCTTCCTATCTGGTTACTTGGGGAAATACAAAGTGTCTTATCTGGCTGACCTTGGTTGTCTGTGATCTCTGAGGTATCACTTTGAGTTATAACTTTAGGGATGAAAAGTACCCAGCTCAGAGACCACACACAGGCCTCTGCTGATGTCCATCACCCTTCCCTTGAGCGGAACATGGTAGTATCAGGTCATTAAGGGCAATATTGTGGAAGGACCAGCAGATGGGGTGCTTGCTCCTTGCAAATATAAATTCTCTCTCATTTGCTCTTTCTTTCCCACAGCTACCATCCTGAGCTACCTACCTTGCTCCCTTTTAGCTTTTATTCAACTATTATTCAGCTATTATTGCAGAGTCTTTGCAGACTCCTCCACTTTCACACCTTCTCCTTAGAGCATTTCTAACTGTTTAGGCCACCAGACTTGTCTCTCCTGAAGCATGCCTTCTAACTGGGCCCGTTAGGGTCTTTTTTTCTATTACAGATTAAGATATTTCACTATTACAGATTAAGATATTTTGGGTGCGCCTGGGTGGCTCAGTCGGTCAAACATCCGACTCTCAGTTTCAGCTCTGGTCATGATCTCAGGGTCGGGAGGGTGGGCACCACGCTCCGCAGGCAGTCTGCTTGAGAGCCTCTCTCCCCCTCTGCCCCTCCACTCGTGCGTTCTCTAAAATAAATAAGTAAATAAAATCTTTAAAAAAGACATTTTAAAAGGTGCTTGAATAAAAACTATCCCATATTATGAAATTTCATATGTTGGGGAGCAGGGGGAAGTGTGGGAGGTTGAAAATTTCTCAGGGAGAAAAAACGTTTTTTTTTTTATTTTTTTAATGCTAAATTTTAGGACTCTAAACATATTTCAAAATTTTGCTTGTTATGAACAAGCCAAATTGTGCAGTGTCTTTTTGCTGTTAAATTTGAAGTCATCAGATTCACAAATGGGGTTTTTAAAAATTCAAAACACTTGAGTTTTCCCAAAATCTTTTTATAAAAGATGAGATCCTCTTCTGCCAGTAACTTCAGAATTTCTGGAAATTTTGCCGAAGTCAAAGGAAAATAAATGCCCTGTTTTTATTTTTATTTTTTTACCTTGTCTTTTAGAAATAACCTTAAACTCATTTCATCTTTATGAATTAGACTAGAGTTTATACTGAAAATTTTGGTGTTCACAAAGCATAAAGGAGTCTTTGGAAAGTATACCTAGGATTTTCTGGAGGTATTTGTTATATTTATACGAGAGAGTTTTCTGAAAGCCCCGGTTTACTTAACAGTGGTCACTTATTTTATAATGGAAACATTTTGTGTTTTTTTTTAAAGTAGGCTCCAGGCCCAGTATGGAGCCCAATGCAGGGCTCAAATTCATAACCCTGAGATCAAGCGGTGAACTGAGATTAAGAGAGAAGTTTAACCAGTGAGCCCCCCAGGCGCCCCTAATGGAAACATTTGGAATGGGTGTCCTTATGGGTCTGGGTCTGGCAGTGTTAGAAACTGTTGCATATGCGGCTTTGGATACTTGTCTTGAGCAGGCCAAGGACAAAGAATTTGGAATTCTCAGTGGGATGGTCTCTTTCTAAATTGGAGGACATGTAAGAAAACCTGTACCTGACTTATGGTTCAGCATTCTACAGACTCCATGTCTAATATTTAAGTGTTTGCTCTTTCCTTTGTTGGCAGGTGAGATGTCCCATCATGATGTTCTGGATGCTGCGTCCCAAGGAATAAATGTCATCCTCTGTGAACATAGCAACACTGAACGAGGCTTTCTTTCTGATCTTCGAGATATGCTGGGTGCTCACTTGGAGAATAAGATTAATATTATCCTGTCAGAGACAGACAGGGACCCTCTTCATGTGGTATAAAGCATATAGGAATAACAGGATGACAGTCTGCGAATTGATTGCCTCCCAACTTGAGTGCATAACATGAATCAGTGGAGTTAGAATCCTCCCGGAAGAATGTCTTAGAATGTACATTATTTCTGGTTTGTAAATCTGCTTCACCAAATGTTCTGTAGCTCATATGGTAAAAACCATAACATAACTACCATTCAAGAACAAGTATTCATTATAAGATGAATTAAGATGATTATACAATGTAAAGCACATATTCATTATAAACTCCAGGCGAGATCCACTGAAATCTGTTTACTTAACATTCTGGGTAAGTTGCTCAAGCAGTCTTCTCCTTAGCTTACTTATAGATGCGATGTGTCATTCTAGATCTCTCTGCCCTTGGTTAGTTTAAAAATAGACTTTAAAAAACTTGAGATTGGAACACTTATTTCTAGGTAGTAGCCTCTAGGGGGTGATAATGTCTATCTCTATGTTCCCATTCTCAGATCACTAATCTTTCACCTAAATTTCAGAATCAGGATGAGGTTTTATGTTTTTTTTGTTTTTTAATATAGATGATCATTATTCATGACTATTGTTTATTGCTTTTTAGGTAACTCACCTGGAATTTTATTAGTAATATTTTTATTATTATGTTAATCACCATACATTACATCATTAGTTTTTGATGTAGTGTTCCATGATTTATCATTTGCGTATAACACCCATGGAATTTTATTAGTAATATAAAAAGATGGTTAGCTTTTAGAATAATCCCAGTTATCATACAATATTAACTTTGTGCTAGGCATTCTCAGGTATGTTATAAACACTTTCAATCTTGAGAAACAAGAATATAGGTATTATGATTTCCATTTTACAGATGAGTAAACTGAAACAGGTTAAGTAGTTTGCCCAAGGCCACATGGCTAGGAAATGACGGGAGTTTGGACACAAACTCAGGTAGTCTGGCTCCAGAAGTCTGTGTTCTTAACTACTTCTTAATGAACATTGACGAGAAACCTGATACAGGAGGTATGTTAGAAATCCTGAAGGAAAAAGAAATCCATTTTAGCTGGGATTTTCTCTGGGTGGTATGGGAGTTTTTTCTTTCAAATTCTTCTGTATATATTTCCAGTTTCTCTGCTGAGATTTTTCCTTTGGTAATGACAAAAGCCAGTCTTTTAAAATACTGTCTAAGATGAGAAAGGAAAGCATTTTATTTCTTTTGTAGGACCCTTATCCTACCAGTCGTCTCCTGGAGGATCTGGGATCCTAACTTAAACATTATTCTTGGTGGTTCACCTGTAATGTTGATTCACCACAGAAATAACCAATAGGACCGAGCCTTAAGAAATGCCCCCAATTCGAGGGTTGGAGGAGGTGGGAGGAGAATCAGCAAAGCATCAGAAGCCAAGGAGAAAACTTCGATGAGGAAAGGGCGACATCAGAGTCGAGCCAATGGGAGAGCAGACAGCTTTGAGACTCTTAGTGGCGTTTGCCTCAGTCATTGCTTGTGTTCTGTGTGCCGGGCCCATGGATATGTGGGGAGAATAGGACAGAAGTTTGGATGATACTTAAGGGTTTATGGATCGTAATTCCCTATGCTAAAGACACGCAGAGGGCTTACAGGGAAAGTTTCCTGGGGCAAGGGGGTAGAGTTCAGTCAAGAGGCACAGCTTGAACCAACGGTAGGTAGTGCATTGAAAAAGCCCAAGTAAGTCATCCATTATTGTCAGGGCAGAAAGCAGGAGGCAGGAATGATGATGGTCAGAGATGATGCTTAAGAAATAGCTTGGGGGCAGTGATGCTTTAACCTTTTTTTCCTTTGTGGCACACTGAAGGTAGGACATGATTTCACCTTTAACAGTTACTCATCCTGAAGGTTGTGGATTAAATTCCTTTTGTTAGAGTTTCGAGGGGATTTAATGGATCAAAGAATTTGTTTATGATTGGACATGCTTATTGCTAAATTGTTTTTTTGTTGTTGAAGAATGCCATTGTTACAAACTTTTTTAAAGTTTCTTTACTGGCATGCTAGCGTTTCTAAGTAACTAAAAATACCCCCAAATATGTCCTCTGTAGTTTTTTAAAAATAAAGTATCACCAAAGATGAATTCTTTATTTTCACTTGTCAAATTTTCTGAACTGATAACTTTAAGATGTTGATTGTTTCGTTGTATATCTCATTGCTTTTCAAACTCAATGTGCAGTAGAATGTATGGAGATGTAGTTTAAAAAATGCAGACTGATTCAGATGCCCGAGTAGGGCCCCAGCACTTGTGTGTTCCCGAGGGAAAGCTGCTGCGGCTGCTGCCATTTCAAGGACCGCACGTTAGGCAGAAGTGAAGACGGCGACCTGAGTGTGTGGGCGGGCACAAGGCCGAAGTGTGCTGCTGTATGCCCAAATTGTTAGAGAATGTGCTAAGGAGTTTTCTGTAAACCTCACATTTAAAGTTCTCTTTTCCATAGCATCAGTTATTTCAAACTTCTTTTCAGCATGTTAAGAATACTGGAACTTTCAATGCTATTAACACCCCATAATATTTCTTCCTTCATATTCCTTACAACTCCTCTATCTAGCACAGAGCCTTCTGTGTAGGAAGTGTTCAACAAACAAGAATGAAAATGTTCTGACAGCAATTTGAAATACCAAAATGTAGGAGACTCTCCTAAGGGAGAAGTCAAGTAATTGCAGAAAGCCCACGAACAAAGTCATTTGCGTAACACTTTTTTTTTATTCCTCAGTTTCAGGAGCCACACAGTCTGATAAGGCAGACCCTCCTGACTTTGTCATCTCTGATGGTTACTCAGGACTAAGCTGGAAGAGTCTTCTCACCTCCTAGAATAAACATTCTGAACAATGCTGCTGGCTCCACATTGAATTAGAGGGAAAAAAAGTAGACTTCTAAAGTAAGTTTTTTAAAAAAAAAAGAGAGATAAGCAAAATCTATTAACCATCCCCTAAACTCACTCATCTTTTATATGAATGTTCATGTATTAAAATGACAAACATGCTAAGAAAATCAGTTTCTAGAGTATCACAACTGATTTAGCACTCTCTGCATCAGGAATGCAGTGTTATGTCCAACTTTTGTAGAGTGCAAGAATGCCTGTTCGACGTCCCCTGTGCCTTTTTTGGGCCTGTTTATTTGGCCATTTTATTTATTTTTAAGATTTTATTTATTCGTCAGAGAGAGCACAAGCAGGGGGAACAGCAGGCAGAGGGAGAAGCAGTCTCCCCATTGAGCAGGAGCCTGATGCAGGGCTCGATCCCAGGAACCCGAGATCATGACCTGAGCTGAAGGCAGACGCTTAACGAGTGAGCCACCCAGGCACCCCGATTTGGCCATTTTATTAAGAGCAGCCGGGAAAATCTTTCAAGTTTTTCAGGTCTGTTCACTCTTGTCAGAAGCAAGTAACAGAAGTTGGGAGCCTTAAGAGTCAAGCTCTTAACTGGTAAGAGAATAAGGAACATTGATACTGAAACAAGTTAACGAAGAGCGTAGAACAATTAGCAGAATTACAGATCTTCAGATCTGTAAGATGCACTTATAAAATTTTTGAAGGACTTAAAAATATTTAGTAAAAAACCAGTACTATAAAAAAGTGATTCTATCCAAATTGGCTTTTTATTTATTAATAGACTGTTGACACATACTGCTTGCAAGTAGTATGGACACAAAAATTATAAAAATAAACCAGTAGATATTTAAGGGCAAATGCAAAATTTGCATATTAGGTCATTAAAGATTTTATATACTTTTTATACTACAAGTTATAAACTAGATATAAGCAAAAAAAAAGCAAGGTGCAAACGAGCACGTATCATATGCTACCATTTGTGTTTTTAAAAGGAGATACAGACACATACCCTTCCGTGTGCATAGAATACCTCTGGAGGAATAAACTATCACTGGTTGCATAAGGGACTGGATCGGTGAAGGGGAAGGAAACTCACTTTTTATTGAATATCCTTTGGTAACAAAAATTTTTAGAATCAAATTCATGTACTAGTTTTTTTTAAATATTTTGATTATATATGACTAAGCCCTCATCCATGGATTTAACAAATTATATGCCACAAAGAGAAAAGACTTAAATTCTGAGCATTTTGGGAAACAGTTTCATGAAAGGGCTTTATAAGATAATGTACCGCATCAGCAGTTCTCAATTACAGTGATATTTTATTGAAAAATTTCATTTCCAAGTATGAAATATTTTAGAGAGTATGTGAAGACTATAAGCTGACCAGTGGCCAAAGTTAGCCTTTTTCTCTTTTCTAAGGAAAAGGGCTCATGTAAATATTTAGAGGGCTTGAAATTGTTACTTTAAGAAAAAAACTGAAATGTCTTACAGTGAGTTTTGGGTCTACTTGATAGAGAAGTCAAGATTAAAATCAGCCATTAATATGCTACTCGTAAGTCATTGAAGAAAAATGTCAATGCAAAAATAATTACATTTTTTTTTTTCTGTTGTCTTGAAAACAACGCCTAAAATGTAATTCAGGACTGTGTTTCTGTAGCCTGGCTTCTTACTTGTGTCATGAAGGTGATGGCGCAGATGTTGGCTGTTCCGCGTATCATGATTATTGTTCATGTGCTTTCTAAGGTGGGTATACACCCTATATGCTCATTATGCTTTTCCCACTATTCCAACTGAAGAGGGTCACTCCCTCTTCCCCCACCCCACCAGAATGGAGTCTAAACCCAAAAGGAGAAAGCTAGATCACCTACTCTTCCCCAGTCTTACACACCCTTTTTAAGCCGTTTAAGAACAGGCAGATGATCTGCCTTCTTTACACTCGTCAGCTCTGACAGAACAGCAAATAAAGTAGATTTATGTGATGTCACTGTCCTTGTACTTCCATGCTCTGGAACAAACACATCTGCCAACAGTCAGCTCTGGGAGTGTTTAAAAGGCCCTCAAAAAATTAGGAATATCATCTCCAGTATAAAAAAATTCAAAAACATCCAGCTCCAAATAGTCCCTGAGCACAGTTCATTCCAGCAAGAAGTCTCCAGAGAGGTAATGAATGAAAGGCACGTTTTCTCCAACTTGAGGACCGCTGCATAGTACTAGAGATGGTACACCAGCCAGGCTAATCAAGGTTCTAACTGATGACATTCCTCCCCTCCCATCTTTAAGTCTTGTACACTGGAAGAGTCTAATGTTAGATGTAAACACAACACTTTAGACTAGAGGAGTGGCAGCTGGGGTACAACCCTTCCTTCCACAAAAGATTCAAGAGTAAAGGACAACTTCAAGACTCCTCTTCTTCCTTTTCCAGGAAATCACTCAGTGTTCCATTGTCCACAGGAATTAATAGATATTCCACTCCATCAGTTCCCTAAAAGAAGTGAGAATACCCTGGATGTTAGTCATTTGTAAAGCGATATAGGTGAACCCTGTTGTAGGTTAAACAAAAAAAAAAATGGATTTATTTTATATAAATACAGAAATGTAAAGACTAAGGCAAAAGGGTACGTAGGCTTATCTATTTAAATACACTGAGTTTATAGTTAAACCACTTCATAGTAGAAAAGAAGACTAGAGGGTGAGTAGATCTCTTTACCCTCCTGCTCTTTCTAGAATCTTACCCTACTGATTTCTCTGTTCTTTCAACCAGGTATCTCCACCCCCCTTACACCCCCTCCCCTTTAAAAAAGTAATCTCCAGGGGTTCCTGGGTGGCTCAGTTGGTTAAGCATCTGCCTTCTGCTCGGGTTGTGATCCCAGGGTCCTGAGCTCCCCGCCCAGTGGGAAGTCTGCTTGTCCCTCTGCCTCTGTCCTTCCCCCTGCTCATGCTCTGTAATAAAATCTTAAAAAAAAAAAAAATGTAAAAAGTAATCTCTATACCCAACGTGGGCTGGAATTCACAACCCTGAGATCAACAGTCATATGCTCTACTGACTGAGCCAGCCAGGTGCTGCCCCTTTTAAATAACCCTCACTAAATTCTCATTTCTATCACCCAACCTCTGTACCTTTCCAGAAGAGTTGTCAATAATTACTGGTCTCCGTTTCCTCACCTTTCACTCGACCCAGTCCAACCTAGCTACCACCATTACCATGTCATTAAAAGACCTTCTGTTTGGACCACTGAAGAATTCCTTACTCCTGAATCCAATACATATTTTCAGTTTTCATCTTTTTGGCCTCTTAGCAGAACCTGACACTGCTGACTGTTCTTTCTTAAAACGTGCTTCTCTTCGCTTCTATGACATCATATTCTGGTTTTCTTTCTGGCTATCTGGCTGTTTCTCCTGCCTCTACACGTTTATCTTCTACTTGGCCATTAAATGTCACACTTCTAGGCTTAGTTCCTGGCCTTCTAATCTCTCTCCCACCGATGCCTGGTTTCCGTTACAACCTAAATACACAGGGATTAATCTGTCTCTAGCTCAGATCTTTCCTCTGTTTTTTTTTTCCTAGGAAACCCAGTTGCCTAGTTGACATCTCCATTTGGAAATCTCAAAAGAACCTCAAACAGAGTAAGTTCAAACATACTACAATCAGGAACTCATGATCTGTCTCCTCAAAAATGTTTCTCATCCAGTGATCTCACCATTTCTCTGGTTATACAAGCCAGACACCAGAAGTCATTCTTGATTGCTCACATCCAATCTATCAGTTCTTGTCAGTTTTGCCTCCCAAGTGTATCTGAACTCCAACCACTTTTCTCTCTCCATCCTAGTCAAGTTACCGTCAGCTCTACTACTACTCTGACTACTAACACACCTCCCTATCTGATCTCTGTGCGTGGACATTTAGCAATCCCTACCCCACCCTGCCCCATTCCATTCTCCGTACCAGCGTCAGAACAGTTTTTTTTTAATGACTTCCCTTAATTTTCAAATGAAGATTAAAATCCTTTTCTTGGCCTAAAAGTAGTGTGTGGGCTAGTCCTTACGTCCTTGTCTTTTCAGCCTTGTCTTGGGACACATTGGCCTTTCAGTTTTTCTCTGACCAGTTACCTCCTAGTTTCCCTCTAGATCTCAGCTCAGTGGTCTGATGTGACTCTGACGTCTTTCAGAACCGTGTGTCTTTCTGATCATAGGACACCACAGTTAAAGCTTTACGTGTGTGTGATTGACAAATGTCCATCTCCTCCATGAGACTTTAAGCTCTATCAGAAAGGAGTTAGGCTTTTGCTTACTACTATATCCTAATACTTAGTGCTCCATATAGACCCAATTAACGAATGTGGTAGAAGGAAGAGGGGGGAAAAGGAATAGAATTATCTGACTCCTATTTCTAATGGCCTATTACTCTGGACTAGAACTCTTCTAAGTTCTCTGCTCTGAAGCTGAGTACTTCTACTTTATCTCTTTCTACAGAACTCAAATGGCACACCGCCTAAATGGATCCTTGTGGCCCATCATGGAACCTGCATTTTGTTTTTTTTTTTTTTTTAAAGATTTATTTATTTATTTTGAGAGAGTGAGAATGAGAGAGAGAGAGAGAGTACATGAGAAGGGGGAGGGCTGGAGGGAGAAGCAGGCTCCCTGCTGAGCAGGGAGCCCGATGCGGGACTCGATCCCAGGACTCCAGTATCATGACCTGAGCCGAAGGCAGTTGCTTAACCAACTGAGCCACCCAGGCGCCCGGAACCTGCATTTTATTATCAAAGTTGAGTCAAAGGCATACTTGTCCTTAAGTAAACAAGAGATAAGGTAATCCTAGCATATAATGCTGTAATAGCAAAACTCTCACCTTCTTTGTCCTTAGAAGCTTGTGGTCCCTAAATTCAGTTAACTGGGCCCGAAGTGTCAGATCACTATTGACCAGGAATGCCTCTCGACACTGTTGGTAAAAATCTTGAAAAGAAAATCCTAGAGAGTTCAAAAGGAGATGTGAACATAAGTCAGCATTTAAGACATGACCCTACATGTGGGTGCCCATACCAAAGAACACAAGCTGTTGCCATAGTATGTCAGAACAGTCAGTATTGATTAAAAAAAAAAAGGTACCTCTGGAAGAAGCGAAACTGGAGAACACTTAAGTATTATACGCTGTGGCTTACATTTTAAAGGGAACTGACTGGTTGAAAGCAGTCATTTGTGACCAAGTAAAACAAATGTCGTGGGCAGCTTTCAGCAGCATGAATAGAGCTGACTTTTGAAGAAGGAACTAGTAAGTCAAGAGAGCTGCACGATTATTAAAATATTTGTCTAAATTAACACATTTTTACCTAAGGGGAAGAAAAGCTGCTAAGATGCCCAGCATATGAAATATATGTGATTGGTAGACACATATCCACAGTTACATAGGAAATGTAAAACCAGGCCAGATGTGTCTGTCGGTGTGCACTGGCAAACAGCGTCTCTGCGGGGCTTCTTGAAAACGTGCCATGTGGCAGACAAACTGATCCCAGAGCAAACCATGTATCTGCTCCTGTGAAACGCTGCAGCGCTATTACTAGATTCCAGAAAAGGAATTTATGGGCTGAAACAAAAAGTCACACACAATCTAATATCATAAATACCAAGGTAAGAAGGGTTATCCTGGTTATCCAGCTGATACTTTATTAGTAGCCTGAAAATCCCCCTAAGGAAAAAAACAAAACAGGAATTCAAATCCAGAACGTTAACATCAAAAGATAACAGTAAAATAGACAAAGATAATGTGAAATACTTGGTTTAAACCGTATGTATTTTCTTCTGTTCCTTTCTCCAGGGAACATCCTATCCTGGCCTTTCCTTTTAAGGAAAATCTAGGAGTTTTTTTTTAAGGCTACAGGTTGTTCAAGTTAGAGAATGTGGAATATATAATGTACAGAGGAAAATATTAATGCCATAACCCTAAAATAACAGCCACTAACATTTGATGTGGAAATCATTTCTGTGTGCTGCCTTTACAAATCTTTGTCAATGAAGCAAGGTGGAAACATAAATTCATGCATTTATATATAGTATACACCATTTTACATCTCACCTTTTCACTCACTCATCTTCGCATATCATTAAAAAGTCTTCCTAAATTTTTAATGACTGCCCACCTATCATGTACCACAAACTTACCACTGCCCTACTCATTTTGGATGTTTATATTACTTCCAATTTTGTTAAAAATACCTCCACACTAAATTGTACATAAATATTCTTTCATATCAATTTCTACAGAAGTATACAAAGTGGATTATAGGGCTGAAAGCATGTCACCCACACTAAGATTTCCAGGAGTCCTTTGGTGTGGCAAAAACTTTAAACCTTTACATTTTTTAGACAATCTAGAAAATAAGCACTATAAGCTTATTTGGATCATCTGAATGGCCACATTATAACTAAAGGTTGGTTAAAGTTTTTGATCACATTCATACCAAATAAAGACTAAATGATACTGGAGTTCACAGAATGAAATAAAATTGCAGTTAAAAAAAAAAAAGCAGTGGAGGCTAGTACAGAGACGTTTAGGGTATGCCAAACTAAAAATTACTTGCTTCAGAGCACTCAGTCATCTTTAATGTTTAGAGTACTTATGTTGCATAGATTCCCAACTCTATACACAGCAACTTGCACTAGTCCATTAACAGTAAGCACAGTAAGACTGAATGAGACTTTTTCTGTTGCAAATCCATAGAAACTGATTAGTCATTTAATGCACACTTCAATATTAATGCAATGCTAATCTTAAGGTATACAAAGCAGCTTTATAGAGTAACAAAATTCATCATTACAGTGTGAAAAGTATTGTACCATCTTAACTAGAAGTGCCATTGCTCTTGGGAGAAAAAGACTTTGCTAGTCTCACTTCCTTTAAGAAACTGCATTTTGTGTCAAATTTAAAACAAAAGAAAAATCATCAATGTTTGGATTAATTTATAGGTCTAATACATCCTAACTTAGGAGGAGCTGCTACCGTTATAATATTCAGTCCATTCATCCAAGAACACAGTATTTTTCTTCATCTTTGCAAGTTTTAATTATTCTCAACAGGGCTTTTTGTTTTTAAACATTTCATCTTGTTAAAAATTGTTCTAGAGGGGCGCCTGGGTGGCTCAGTCGTTCTGCATCTGCATTCGGCTCAGGTCATGATCCCAGGATCATGGGATCGAGCCCCACATCGGGCTCCCTGCTCTGCGGGAAGCCTGCTTCTCCCTCTCCTCCCCCCGCTTGTGTTCCCTCTCTCACTGTGTCTCTCTCTGTCAAATAAATAAAATCTTAAAAAAAAAAAAAAAAATTTTGTTCTAGAATTCTGTGCTTTGGCAGGAGGAATCTGCTACTCAAAGCCTTTTTCAACAGGTTAATTATTGTGCCCTTTATGTTTTGCCAGTTTATGCTGTATCCAGCTTTTCTTAGCTTTTATTAATTCAGATATGCCTCTTGGTGAGGCTGCTGAAAGGGCTTCTCTGGAGAGATTACACAGAGATGTTTAAAAGCAAGAGCTTGGGAGCCAGGCAGATTTGGATCAAAATCTCTGTGCCTTTTGCTATCTACCTTAGAGGGTGTGAGGATCAAAGGAGTTATTTCATGTAAAGGGCTCCATGTTTATATCACAGTGTTCAATATATAATTAAAAATAACCATCAGATTTAAGTAAAATTCATCAAAATTATTTTTCCTCCACGATGACCACTATTCTTGAGATGCTCTTATTTAGAAATATAAAAATTAAGAAAAAAAAAATGCTGACACTATTGTTAAGGAGTCTGGCTACTGCATAACCCAGTACTGGCAACTCTTTTTTACTCTTTCTCTTAATCCTGCAAACTTAAGTATAGACTTTAGAATTGCCATTAAAAGTTACTCATGAATATCATTAAATGTAGAGTTTTTTTTTAAAAAAACTATAGTTTTCATTCTTACCTTGCATTAGGGGTAAGGCTTCGTAAGACATGAGTTAGGGAACTAAGTGGTAATGATCCAGATTGTTTAACCAGAAGAGAATTCTCATAGGAGGTTTCTTCAGTATAAGGACTATATGTAGTAGTTTCATACCAGAGCCAGTTATAAAGACTCTGCTTTGCATGATCCCACACTATAGCATATGATTAAAGAAAACAGGAGTTACTAATTATTGTCATATTGTGGTGTTACTAGATTCCACTCTAGGAAAGAAAGTGTTAAAAAATGAATCCTGAAAATTTTTCATTTTTGCCATTTCCCCATCCATATCAGTACCTCACAATCTAATTGCCAATCAACATCTGAATCTTTATTTGTATATTAAATACAGTTTAAAATAAATAAGTGCTACCAAGGCATAGGGATTATCACAAAGTCTCGGAATTAAATGCATAACATAAATATTGCAATACCACAAAGTGGAAAAGACCAAAATAATAGTTGGGTTTCTTCTCTTTCATGAAAATTTAGGTATAAAACACCCCCTTTACAATCTGAATTTTTATTTCCAAGAAATGTTCTGAATCAGACTGAGGACACTTTTATTTTTAGCAATCTGTTACTTTATGCATGCAACAAAAAAAAGTGTACTGAGAAACAATAAAAATGTTGCGATTTACAACATTAAGACATTTTTTAAAACTGGTATCCTGAGAAAGAAAAATGGCAATACTTACTGAGAGGAGCATTGAGGTGATCGATAGATGCTATAAGATATATGTTACGTAAAGATGACAATTGTCCAATAATTTGCTGGCTTTTGTCTCCTCTCAACATTTGGCTATCCAAATTGTGGATGAGAAGGAAGAGTTCTAAAGAAGAATCTAAAAGGAAAGACAATTCAATTATTATTTACAAGGAGTATTTGTAAAGTCCTTACCACACACAATGCCTATGTATTAAAAGATGTGTCAAAGAATAGTATGGGACAAAGTAACTACTGCATAGAGGTATGTAATTTGAGAAGATATCAGCCCCTCAAAAGAGGCAAAAGATTATTAAAGTCTTAAGGAAATTCACTGAAAATCAGTAAGCACTGGATGTTGAATGGTTAGCTCCTGAATCATATCATAAAGCAGTTTCAATAAGGCACTGGAAATAAGGGAAGATGCATTTTGGGTTGGAGGTCAATCTAGATATGTTGCACTGCAGGGCAGGAGTGGAGAGGGGACAGACACACACCAAAAGTTCTCACTAGGCATTAAGAGAGAAAACCCTGATTATCACAAAGCCAAAGAAGACAAAAAAAGGGAGGGAGTGGAATTTAGGATATGGCTCAAGGCATCAGGAAACTCAGAGAAGTAAAAAATGTCTTAAAGGTCAATGAAAGCAGAATTTGGAGGATGGGGCTGTCAAAACCATTAAATACTTGCAGAGATCAAGATAAAGGATGAGCCAAGGCCGCCTGTGTTTAGTAAGAAATTACAGGTGATCTTCAAGCATATAGTTCAGGTAGCACAGAAGTAAGAAATTAAGGAAATAGGTAAAAAGAAGAAAGGATATGTCTTCAAAAACTCTGAAATCATTGAACTAGGAAAATAAAAGTGCAGAAGGGCAGCAGAATCAAGTAAACCTTTTCTTATGATGGAAGAAGTCCTATACAAGTTCAAAAGCCATTGATAAGTGTCTCTGGAGTTGTTAAGAAATAGGACATAATGGAGGATGAGCCTTTTAGACTAAATTTCTCTCCCACTGGGGCTAGAGTGACAAGAGACAATATAGCAACAAAGATTCTGACAACATTTGGAAAATCTAGAAGCCACCATGATCATCAGTATTTAAATTGTAAACATTTCTATTTTATAGCTGAATTATACTTAAATGTGACATATTTACATCATATGCATTATACTATATATTTAATTATGAATTGTGTAATTATATATTCAAATTATATACCCATATGCAAATGTATATAATTACAATTTATATAATTACAAATGTTTTATATAAATAAATAAAATAGGCATTATATATGAATATATACATATAAAATGACTTAGGCACCTATTTTCATGAGCATATAAACAATATCAAAATTCTCCATCAGATTATTACTTTTTTTTTTAAAAGTAGGTTCCATGCCCAGCGTGGAGCCTCACAGGGCTCGAACTCACCACCCTGAGATCGAGACCTGAGCTGATACCAAGAGTTGGACACTTAACTGTCTGAGCTACCCAGGCATCCCACTCCTTTTAATTCTTAAGTGACTAGGGGTGCCTGGGTGGCTCAGTCGGTTAAGCTTCTGCTTTCAGCTCAGGTCATGATCCCGGGGTCCTGGGATTGAATCCCGCATCGGGCTCCCTGCTCAGCAGGGAGTCTGTTTCTCCCTTTCACTCGCCTCTGTGCTCTCTCTCTCTCAAATAAACAAAATCTTAAAAAAAAAAAAAACTCTTTAATGACTAAGTGTCAACTGTGGGACCCTAATAATTTTATTTTTAATTTTCTGAAATGCTCACATAGCTAAAACATTCACATCAAAAGAGTAACAAAACTGGGGTGCCTGGGTGGCTTGGTTGGTTAAGTGACTGCCTTTGGCTCAGGTCATGATCCCAGGGTCCTGGGATTGAGTCCCACATCGGGCTCCCCCTGCTCTGTGGGGAGCCTACTTCTCCCTCTCTGCCTGCCACTCCCCCGGCGCTGTCAAATGAATAAATAAAATCTTTAGATGTTTTTTTTTCCATTCCACAGATTTTAGTGTATGAAACTATTCAAATGCAATGTTACTCCAATTAGAGAGAGAAAAATGTTTTATAAAAATATTAAACAATATAAAAATACCAGAGATGCACCTATCACCTGGGGGCATTTCACATGGGCCAAGTAAAACCTGAAAACTATTCTGAAATAATAGGCTTTTGGTTATACAAATTCAAGATAGTAAGAGCAATTCTCTCCTGTTAGGTATAAGTGAAGTTCACAGAAAAACTTCGTGGAAAAAGAAAGGACAAATTATTTCAGAGAAATCTAAATCAGCATTGAGATAAGTGTTACTGAAATAATCCACATTTTTGTATACAATAATACAGATCTTCCTTGGTTTTAGATGGGGATATGTCCCAATAAACCCATCCTAACTTGAAAATATAAGTCGAAAATGCATTTAATACACTCAACCTACCAAACATCATAGCTTAGCCTAGCCTACCTTAAATGTACTCAGAATGCTTATGTTAGCCTGCAGTTGGCCAAAAACACAAAGCCTATTTTATAATAGTGTTGAATGTCCCATGTAATTTACTGAAGACCGAAATTTAAAAAGAGAATGGTTGTATGGGTACAGAATAGTTATAAGTTTATTGGTTATTTACTTTCATGCTCATGTGGCTGACTAGGAGCCGTGGCTCTCTGTCATTGCCCAGCATCACAAGAAGAGTGTAGTACCACATACCACTAGCCCAGGAAAAGATCAAAATTCGAAGTATGATTTCTAGTGAATGCATATTGCTTTTGCACCATCATAAAGTAAAAAAATGGTAAGTCAATCCATTTTAAGGTGGGGACCATCTACCTGTACACGAATAAGTAGAAGTGCACGCTTAGCTTTACCCTAAAACTAGAGCATCTACTTCATGTTACCTTCTTTCAATCTGTTCACTATCCAGTCCAGCTGATCCAGTACACTGCGGAAAGTGCCCGCATGATCGAGGGCTTCTTCTGTTATAGAATTCAGGATCTGTATCATCAAAGTGCAAGAGGTACATCAATTTCTACTTGTTCTGTCATACAGGATAAATACAACTAACAAATCAATCCTTTTTTATAAGTTAAAAATGCATTTAGATTTCCCATCAAGTCTGAAAAACCACTTAAAAAACTCTGGTACTTAAGTATATCTAGTTCATCTTTTGGCGTGTTAGAGCTAAAATGGAACATGGAAGAAGAGCGAAGACGTACAGGTGAGAGGGTAGCGAAACACCGCCCCTGCTGACACGGGGGACCTGAGGGGCCACATCCCCGCCGACGCGGGGGACCTGAGGGGGCCACACCCCCGCCGACGGGGACCTGAGAGGGCCACACCCCCGCCGACACGGGGGACCTGAGGGGCCACACCCCCGCCGACACAGGGGACCTGAGGGGGCCACACCCCCGCCGACGGGGGGACCTGAGGGGGCCACACCCCATCAGAGGAAACAGGAAACAAACACCCTTAAAGAGGAATACTGCATCGGTTAATATCCAGCACCACAAGGTTTAGTTTTCAAATGATGAAAAGACATGAGCATTTGCCCTGAAAATGATCTATAATAAATGCATTATAAAACTACAAACTATTACTTATATTATTACTTTTAGAGTACCAAAGTGACACAAAAGCATAATAAACCCGAAGTCTTCCATAATCCTGTCTTTCAGAGAAGTACTGTTGGTATTTGGGATAGTAAACAAAACTAACATTTCTCTAAGATTTAATCCATTTATCAGTTACAAAGTAGGAAATTCAGAGATGAGGATTCAAAGCTAGAACCCTGAGTCCAAACATATGATCTTAAGCACTATGCAATCCTACTAGTGGAAAGGCTAAAAAAATTTGAATGTTCCAGAATGAGAAGCAGCATCCTCATTAATGTAGGGGTATGGATTGGCAGGGATATAATGTTGCTCCTTTTAACGTTTTTGAAACTTACTGATTTCACACTTATTCCAGGAAAGAAGCCGTTGATGACAACGTGAATGGAATCTTGCAGCACAGTGGTTCGAAACCTTTCTAGTAAATCTCTCTTAGAACCCAAACCATAAAGCACAATGTTGAACCCCAGGCTGTTAGGAAAGATAGCATTCATGAAATTAAAGTTTGGTATCTCTTAATTTTTTATAATCAACTAGTTTCTTTAAGTTGATAAAGAATACAGAAAGGACTAGGATGACTAAGTAACTACACTGATTCCCCCTTATACACAGTAGAAGCACAGTTCTATTATCTGTACACCAAACTTCAATTCCAACTTCAGTAGCTTTCTTTCCAACTCTTTATTACCTTTCAAGTGATGGCTGGCTGGAGGCAAGGGAGAACAGCAGGGACAAGGCACTAACAGTTCCACAGGCTGAAGCAGAGTTTTAATTGATAAACAGGAAACATTAGCAGAGGCCAGGTCACAAAGGTCTTGTTTAAGTCAACTAAGACATTAATTAAATTTTATTTCAAGGACAATGACGATTTAATGTTCTATTTATTTATTCATGAGACTGAGAGAGAGAGAGAGAGAGAGAGGCAGAGGCAGAGAGAGAAGCAGGCTCCCCGCCTAGCAGGGAGCCCGATGTGGGACTCGATCCCAGGACCCTGGGATCATGACCTGAGCCAAAGGCAGACGCTTAACCATCTGAGCCACCCAGGCGCCCCAAGGACAATGACCATTTAAAAGTAATTACTCAGGTGTTAACTGAAATGTTTTAAGTAGGAAAGTAGCATGGTATTTTCAGGAAGATAGTACTGGCTGAACAGGGGGAACGGACAGAAGGAGAGACAAAACTGCCAAAAACTATGGACCTGAATTAGGTGTTATGGAGAAAAATAGTAGTTGTCAAGAGCTTTACATGTCCAATCAATAGGATTTGGAGAGTGGTTAGATGTGGAAGGTGAGGGAAAGAGAGTATTTCAGAATAACTTGTTTTATTGGCATGGGCAACTACATGAATGGGGTGACATTCATTGTGCCAGGTTGCAGGGGCAGGTGGGAATGATGGATTTAAGAGTAGTTAAGTTTTATGTATATTGAATTATTTACAGGACATCCACATGGAAACCTCCAACATACATTGAGATATCCATATCTGCTGCTAAGGAGTGATACCTGGGCTGGGCCAGAGATACAATTATGGGAGTTTTTCACATGCAAAAAGCAACAAAAGCCAAGAGAGTAAGAAGATCCAGAACACCAAGCACTATGGGTCAAACTAAAGCTTGACTCCATGATTGTTCATAGACGTCAATCAGAAACAGTATTTACATGGTGCTCTGTAGCATTGCAGGGGGAGCCTAGAAATAGAAGAAACGCAATAACCCCCAAGTAGAGATTAGCAAGGTAGCAGCAGCAGGAAAAAAGGGAATTCAGAGAGTTGGCAATTCTATTGAAGTAGTTGACTGAGGTCTAGGCTGGGAAGCAAAGCTGAACAAGTTATCAGAGTTGACATACTGGAAGGAGGAACTGGTCTCTGGGGGATGGGATCAGAGTGAAGAGCTACTTTACAAATTTATAATGAACAGATCTATAAATAGTTATTGAGAGAAGCTGAGGTCCTAGCAGGGAAGGTAAGCATAACACTTTGATGTATTATTGGCAAAAGAAAACCAGGATCAATGGGGAAAATTGTGTCAATTTCTGTTTTTATTGCTTTGTGGACCTGCCCTCTTACTTATTCCAGTGACTATGTAACTGTCAGTATATATTTACAGTAGCATACTTTTTGAGCACTTCCTTATACTAAGATCCTTTTTAATAAAAGTATAAAAGTAATTATAGTAAAAAAAGTTTAATAATTCTTCTAGTTATTTTAATGAAGTATCTGAAAAACGGTAAAATTGAAAAAATATTCTAAGAAATAATTTTAAAATGGTAAAATAATGTTTATAGGACAGATATCACAAAATTCTGAAGATCTATAGTACATGAAAATAGAATGAGATTAAAATAAATATTTCTTTTTAGGAACTTTGCTGTGGAAAACTGGACTTAAATGTCACTGATCTTAGCACTCTTGACAAATTAGATTTTCAAATACTTTTATAAGTAGTAACTTAGAATTCTAAGAAATTCTATTTTACCAGTGGCTTTCACATCTGATAAATTTAGACACATTTCTTGAAAACTAGAATTTAAGATGAGTCATACAGTATGAAATTTCTACATGTGAGTCATAAAATTAGGAAAATACCTATTTTTTTCAAATTTTTATATATAAAAAACATTATCAAGTTGATTGTAAAAAGAAAACTTAATGTTAAATTGCTTTAACACATATAAATATGTTGTTATTTTACAAGGGTATGAAATAATAATAGTACATACCGTAACTGCAACATCCATTTATAAAATAATTGTTCATATTGTTGATTTAGTTGTTTAAGTTCAGCAGAAAAGGAAGGAGAAACTTTGCTCAGTAAGTTACGCAAAGTTTGCTTTAAAAAAAAAGAAGGGAAGAAAATCATTCTCAAACCATTTACATCAAAATCAATCCAAACTAAAAATATTTCACTAGAGGTAGAGGTTAAAAGGGGCCTTTAGTGGAAATATTACTGTAATCAGGTTTGGTAATGAGTGCATCAACTGAATACACATAATATTTCAAGTATGATTTAAGTATTTGTTTTCTTTAAAAAAAATTTTTCTTAGTGCGAGATCAAGAGCAAGAGAGAGAGAGCATGTGCATGAGTGCAGGGGGAGGGGCAGAGGGAGAGGGAAAGAGAGAATCCCAAGCAGGCTCCACGCCTAGTGTGGAGCCTAACACGGGACTCGATCCCACGACCCTGAAATCATGACGCCAGCCAAAACCAAGAGCCAGATGCCCAACCAAATGAGCTATCCCTGGCACTCGTTTTCTTAAAAAGTTTTAATTACTGTTTTCAGTACAAATATGTAACAGTAAAGAACTTCCCAAGTTTTGTCTAGAACCATTTCTATGATTATAAATTCCAAACATAAGCCTTTAATTTCTAAGATCATTACCATAAGGAGATGATTAAACCTGCCTCCCGGCTTTTACAACAAATCCAGACAGATTTTTAAAAACCTATGAATTTGATGAAATGTGAAAGCTTATGGTAACAATGAAATATGAATTCCCAGAAAATATTAAAAGTTCTTTATAATTTACCATTATCACTAGTAAAATAAGCCTGTATCATTCTCTTCCAAAAGCTATTTTTTTTTTAAGTAGGCTCCATGCCCACCACAGGGCTTGAACTCATGAGATCAAGCAAGACCTGATGTCAAGTCAGATGCTCTTCTGACTGAACCACCCAGATGCCCCATTAATGTTTGATTTTTTTTTTAACTTTTATTTATTAAGTGATCTCTATCCTCAACGTGGGGCTCAAACCAATGACCCCAAGATCAAGGGTCACAGGTGCCCACCAGAAGCTTTTACCCCCTAAAAGCTTCTTCTAACAAATCCATCTTTGTAAGTACAGCAAAGTTTTTTGTTTTTTTCTTTTAGATTTTATTTTTAAGAGGCACCTGGGTGGCTCAGTTGGATAAGCATCCAACTCTTGATCTCAGCTCAGTTCTTGATCTCAGGGTCGTGAAAGTGTGAAGAGGACTTAAAATTAAATAAATAAGTAAATAAGTAAGTAAGTAAATAAGATTTTATTTTTAAGTAATCTCCACACCCAATGTGGGACTCAAACTCACAATCCCAAGAGTAAGAGTCACATGCTCTACTGACTGAGCCAGCCAGCCACCCCAGTATGGCAAAGTTTTTTAAAGGATAATGTAAATAAACTGAGGAAGGTACATTGCCCTGTACCCAAAACTTAGAAATTCATGCTGGTGAATCACACAGCTCACTTTCTGAAATGAAAACTCTAGCAAAAAGCTGTATATGCATTTTACTTTGGCGCTACCATGTTTCCATGATTCTATGCCTTAAGTAAAATATTTTTTTAATACTAAAGGGTTGAGTTGGTTAGCTATGTCCATAGTCAATGAAAGACCTTCCCTTCCCTCATTATTGGTAACAGGTGTTCCTTTCATTTTAGGTCTTTCAACATCTCAGTCCTATGAAATCCTGCTTTAACTCTAGACCCATGTATCCTTCTCCCATGTTGCTTATACAGAAACACATGCACTAAGCAGATGTTAATTTCATCTGCTCCCTGGAACAACCTGGCTTCTTGACATGTTTTCAGCTAGTCTCTGATCTGAATCTGATTACCAATAAGCCAGGTAACAAAAACAACCATAGAGCATCAGGTCTTCTAGGTCATAGCAGCTTACCCTATATTCTCCTCTTTTCTGTATCTGTGAAAAGCCCTGGATACCTTAGAAAACTGCAAAAATTCTAGTTTACAAATAAGTCTCAATACTCTTTGAGCGAATAACAATTTCTTCTTGACTCAGATTATCAACCTCACTTTCTACTCAAAAGATTTTCTCACTCAAATGAGTTCTGTTTTCTCCCTCAGTCAAAACCCCGAGTATAACTGGTATTTTTTATAAAATAAGATACCAGAACTACAGTATATAGTAACCTTGTTACCTTACAGTACTGAGTAGGTTATTCCATAATATCAAGAAGCAGATTTGCTCTGCTCTTTGCAAGGTTTGTAACTAAAAGAGTCAGGTCACAGTCTATTTTACAACCAGTGTGCAGTTCAATGAATATGTGGGTTAAAGCTACATGGATATCAAAGAAATTATGGCCTGATGATTATCATAAATCCTGAAGAAATGATACATTAGAGAAAAAAATTTAATTACTGTATGTCAAACAGAATTCAAGTGAACCATTTACCATTTTATATGATATGTAATAGGTCACATTAATTTGTGTTTCATTTTATCAGGACAGTAATTCTGTTTGTGTAAACTTACCCTTCAAATTTGTTGTTTATGCAGTGTACTTTTTATCTCACAATAAAAAAAAAAAAAATGTAGAAGTAACTTCCTTACAACATACCTGATCCAGTTTAGCTCGCTTTAGTTTCTGCAGTGTTCTGTCAGAGGTTAAAACTTTTGAACTGCTATGAGCTTCAAAATATTCTTCTACCAAATCACTCTGAAAGTGGATAGAGCAAAATCAATTCTTAGTTTCAGATGTTTTTAAAAATTTTTAAAAATTATTTTTAAAGATTTCATTTATTTGAGAGGGGGAGGGAGAGAGGAGAGAGAGAGAGAGAGAGAGTGCATGCAAGCAAGAGCACAAGAGGTGGGGGAGGGACAAGCAGACTCCCCCGAGTAGGGAGCCTGATGCTGGGCTCAATCCCAGGGCTCTGGGATCATGACCTGAGCCTGAAGGCAGCCACTTAACCAACTGAGCCACCCAGGCATCCCTAGATGTTTGTTTTATATCAAAACTAGACAGTAACATTAGCATAAAATAGGTGAAATTCTTTATTTGGCACTATTTTCTTTTCGAAGCAACAATACAGATTAAGGACCAAGGACATTTACTTCTAGCGGTAAAACTGAGTAACTCTTAGGGGTCATAAAAGTTAAAGAAATGACTAGATTGAAGTAGTCTGAAACGATTCCTAAGTTCCAACATAAAAACTCCAACATAAAATTTCCATTCAGACTTAAAGAAAAGGGAGTTTTACAACTATCGGGACCTTCATTTTGCCTCACACAGTTCTAACAAATCTTTTAATATCAGGACAGTCGAAGAACTGAAAATGAGGAAGATATGAACAGTAAAGTAAAAGACCTGCCTACCGTTCCAGTAAAATGGCTCACTGCTTGTTCTGTGGACTTGCGGCAGGACTAACCTCCATGGTGGTAAGAAGGGATGGAAAACCTTTCAAGCAGTAGGCTTCCTAGACTGCTCTGAATCTTTATACAGAACACCAGATAATTAGCCTTTTCTCAGGCCATGGTGCTTACAATGTTCTTCCAAACAACTCAACATGGATCCACAGCCACTTCACTATTTATATTGACTTGAATATATCAACAATGTTACAAAAACAAATCTATATAAAAAGGTATTCACTGAGAAGTTTTGCTTCCAATTATCCAATCAAAATTTATTTAAAAGCTCATTTTTATACAACTGAATTGAGATGTCACCTTTAGCATATGGCACTGGTACATGAATATGAATGCAGACAGGCCAAAAAGAAAGTTCAGAAATAGACACAAATATAGATAGGCATTTATGCAAAAGACTGAGAAAATATAGAAGTAAAGAAAAATTATGTTGATCCCCCATTTGAATCTCTTCTTTTAGGGTAGCTTAGCTTTAAGATATTACATAATTTTTCTTTAAGGTTAAAGACTCCACTTACTGTTTTATCTCTTTTCATTTTCTTAGAAGGTGTTTCTTTGCAAATAGGAGCTGAAATGGCTCTATTCTGAGATGGAATCTTTTGGCTCACTATGACTTCATTAGTGTCCTCTTCATATTCTTGTGCAACCCCGTCATCATCTTCTGAGTTGGAAGCAGAATATTCACTTTCACTGTCAGAATGAGACCTTGGAACTGTCGGGGGGAAAGCAATTGGGAAAATTTGACAGTTTCACAAGAAAGGCACTGAAGGGTAATGGAAAGAGCATGGACTTTGAAATAAGAGAATTTCACTCCTGGTTTTGTCATTACTTGCTGATGATTTCACCAGAGCTAGTTATTATGTAAAGTTTTCTGAGCACCAGTTTCCTCATTTATCAAATGAGGCTCATAGTGCCTAACTTGAACCATTGGGAAGATCACACTGAAAGGTATGTAAAGCAACCAACAATGCCTCACACCCGGGAACTGCGGCCGAAACTGTCAGTCATACCTAGTATCATTTCTTTTCTTCTTCCTTGCTAACGAACTCCAATTTTGTAAAATGTGGCAATGTGTCTCACCCTAAGGAATAAATAATCTTGGTAATTATCTTTTCCTCTGCCAGATACTTGTTTTCCCAGCCTCTTTTGCAACCAGGATTGGCTATGTAACCCTCTGATCAATGAAACTTGAGGGGAAATTAGAAGCTTCTGGAAAAGATTTCCCTCACTTATGTAGGGAAAGCCCCTTATTTATACCAATAGCTTAGAGGTAAAGAAGCCATTTGCAATATGAAGCATCAAACCTACAGATGAAAAATGCTGGTGGCAAACAAGAAGACTGGAAGAACGTGGGTCCTTTATGACAATGCTGACTTACCTCAACCATGGAACAGTGTATCCCTAGACTTTTCGTATCCCTAGACTTTTCATGATGTGAGATAATTAAGTGTTTAAGGCTTAAGCCATTATTGTAGAATTTTCTGTTGCTGCCTATACAGAAAATGCCATCCTGACTCAATAAATGGTAGCTACTATTATAAGTATTAGTAATACATAGGCACATTCCATCCCAGAGCTGATATAAGAATTTTATTTTTAAACAAACCATAGCAACCTCCACTACTCTCCAGAAATAATAAAGCTAGTTTTATACTCATAAAGTAAGGATAACACTAGTTTTACACTCAACAAAATAAGTATAAAACTTCTGTTAACTTCCAAAATATGAGTGAAAGAACTTTAACCAAATCAGTATATCAATTTTGAGCAACAGATATATTTCAGAATATCCAGAGTCAGCATATAATAAATATAGATCTAAAGGAAGAAAAAAAAAAGGACTTGATTTTGTGGGCATATACTTTACCAGATTCATATTTGCACTGACTGCTGCCCATGGTAGATGCATGGGATAGAAGTAGCAGTAGGAACCAGAAAATGCTTCCACCTCATTTACATATATACCTCCTACATGTTTGGTGGTGACTGAGAAGGATGAGGAAATGTACCTACTCTCTAAAAAGGATGATTCTTGATCTCAGGGTCATGAGTTCAAGCCCCATGGTGGGCCTAGGGCTTACTTAAAAAAAAAAAAAAAAAAGATAGGGGCACCTGGGTGGCTCAGTCAGTTGGGCATCCGACTTACTCTTGATTTCGGCTCAGGTCATGATCTCAGGATGGTGAGATGGAGCCCCACATAGAGCTCTAGAGCTCCACGCTCCATGGCGAGTCAGCTTCCCCCCCGACCATGCACTCTCTCAAATGAATAAATATTTTTTTTAAAGATTTTATTTATTTATTTGACAGAGAGACAGAGAGAGCAGGAACACAAGCAGGGGGAGTGGGAGAGGGAGAAGCAGGCTTCCCGCTGAGCAGAGAGCCCGATGCGGGGCTCGATCCCAGGACCCTGGGATCATGACCTGAGCCGAAGGCAGATGCTTAATGACTGAGCCACCCAGGCGCCCCTCAAATGAATAAACCTTTAAAAAAATAAATTTTAAAAAAAGATAACAGCTAACACCTGTGAAACACATATCAAGGTCAAGCACTATACTAAGCACTTTTGACATCTTTTATTTCCATTACTCTCCGAACAACTCCAGGGCTAGTACAATTATTATCCCTATTTTGTAAATGAAAAACCTGAGCCACAGAGAGGTCTCTGTAAGTGGCAGGCCAAAGATAAAAAACAAGCAGTCTAAGACTAGAACCTACACACTAAACCATTACTGCCTCCTTTTTAGGTGCTTTTTATAAAAACTCAGTTTAAAAAGAAATACATACCTATTAATCTTTTCCTTAGACCACTAGGTGCTGTTGACAGAAATTCACTTTTATCGCTGTTCTGTTTAAAAATAAAGCAAAACAGTTTCAATAATCAAATCACAATGATGACATGTAAATTAATGATGGATGAGTGGAAGAGGCTAGACAAGAAAAATATTTTGTTTTCATTAGACACCTTGGAATTACAAGACAATGACAAATGACTCTGTTAGGAAAAAATAGCAGAAAGCAACAAAAACAATACAACAAATTCCAAAGGATTCCTAAAGTGATTGTAGAAGTTGTATTTCAGACATCTGTAAAGTACTTTTTATTATGTAAAGAAAAAAAAATAAGTATATGAATTAGCCTTTTGAACCACTTTCACCCATCAGATTAGCAGAATATTTCTTTTTTAAAAATTGATAATATCCAGGGGCGCCTGGGTGGCTAGGTCATTAAGCGTCTGCCTTTGGCTCAGGTCATGGTCCCAGGGTCCTGGGATCGAGCCCCGCCATCAGGCTCCCTGCTCAGCGGGAAGCCTGCTTCTCCCTCTCCCACTCCCCCTGCTTGTGTTCCCTCTCTTGCTGTGTCTCTCTCTGTCAAATAAATAAATAAAATCTTCAAAAAAAATTGATAATATCCAGTGATAATGAGTAAGTGAAGAAATGGGCACTACTATGCATATGGCAGTGGGCCTTTTAATGTGCTTGAAATTTACTGGTGTTAAAGTATTACCTTCTGTGAGAAGAGAAAGAGATCTATACATTTTACTCCATTATGTTAAAAATTTTTAAACACTACAGAAGTATAAAGTCTTTCTTTTCCTCACAGAATATAATACTCTGACACCAATAAATTTCTAGCACATTAAAATGCCCACTTTTGTACACATGTTAATTTTTAACAGTATTGATAAAAAGATAAATTCCCTGTGTTATTTTGGCAATATGAAATTATGACAAAAAATTGAAGTCTATTGTCTTGTGATAGGTTTTTGGTGCTAGTTTCATATGTTAATACATTCTGATTTGGGATATTAAGAATAGTACTATAATAAATGAACTGAGCCCAATGGGTTTATAAAGTATATAAACTTTTTTGATCCAGATCCTTAAAAAATGTTTTTATATTTTGCACATGTGCACACAGTATACAACTGAAACAATTTATAATGAAATAATACTTACAAAATAGACATTTTCAATTTTATTCTATCTCATTTTTTAAACTGCAGGTCATAAACTCATCTCAAGACTGAAAGTTGAGACAGCCTGCCTCCATATAGATTATCAGGTATGAGAACACCTGTGTCAAAATAACCGTTCTGGGTAATTCTTGCTCAAAAAGGTAAGGCTATAAACTAATAAATAACTTCAGTGTTTGCTACAGAAAGTTTTGCAAACTAACTTATCTAGACAGTTTGCTCATTTGGGCAACCTGTTTTCCCATCAGGATAACAGATGACTCAGCAGGGCAACCAGTTTATCAAACAATAGTTCATTCATCAGGACTTAGTTTAAGACCCTCTCTTTTCTGTGTCCACCAATCCTCAAGTATCTTGTAATCAGTTTTGTCTAATATCAGTTTTCCACCTTGATAGCTGTGCCTGAAGCCTTTTGAGTCCAGATCCCCAAGCCCTATACATATTCTCTCCTGAACCCCTCCCTTCTAAGACAGTGCACTAAGACTGCCACTGGGATGTTGTCTCTTATTGTGGTAGGTTTTCTGATGGTTTCTTGGGGTAATTGACAAGATCCACTTATCTGTTGTGATCCACGCCTTGAAAAAGAATGTGCTAATATATCTATATTCTTGACTAGATTATGGGAATGAGTTTTATTCTTTCATAGTGATACAGTATACAAGATATAATACAGGAAAAAAGCATTATCAAAGACAAAAGAGGCTCTAACATGTCTAATCTCACATCTAGACTTGTAAATAGGACATTTGCACGCAGGCCATAACCATGGCCCTGAATGTCTACACTCATTCTTATAAGGGGTTCCCCAAACTTAGCCTATACACAATTCCAGGCATGTCTAAATTTATAGCCATCCAAGCCTGGACACACTCACCACTCACATACTCATTGTGCTGGATTCGTCCATGCCCATCTGGGCTTGCTCATATCCAGACAGGGCCACTTGACAAGGCATAATGAAAAAACAAAATCACAAAAACACAAAGGAGAGGATAAAAATTGTCAATTCTTTTCAGCTACCCTAAAACAAATTTACCAAAACCAACTTTGTTTTCAAATGTAAATTATGAAAGGATATATTAATGGATTTAATGGATCTTGGCATTATTCCCTCAAGAAACAAAAGAACACTATGTATAAAAGCAAAGCGAAGCAAAACAAAACAAAACCAAACCCATAAAATTTCCAGGCCAGCTCTACTAAGATGAAAATATCCGGGGGTAGTTCTGACATAGAAATGGCACAGCAGTTAGGTGTAGAAGACCTGGCTTCATTTTTCATCTTTTCTCCTTCCCAGTTAGATGAACTTAAGTCACTTCACCTCACTGAACCTCAGATTCTTCATCTAATATAAGGTGTCTAATTGGCAAATACCTGTAAATTGTAAGCACTATATAAATTAAGAGATGAAGTGGCTATTTTTCATCATGTCCTTGTAACACTAAAGTTTTTGTTTGTTTTCAGTCATTGCTTACCTTCAACTGAACTTTGTCTGAAGCAGAATGCCCTAAAGAATAAAACAAAAAGGCATTACTTACCATAAGTACTTCAATTTTCATCATAGTCTAGTTTCATTAAACTGCTCCACAATTCTCCACAAACTGTGACTTCCAAACCCCCAAAGCCTCATTTCAAATAGAATGTGGCTAAAGCAAATCCTCCATGAACACTTGGCTTACTCAAGCAAATGATAATAGGGTTTTTTTAATTAACATATAATGTACTATTTGTTTCAGGGGTACAGGTCTGTGATTCAACAGTCTTACACAACACACAGCGCTCACCACAACACATACCCTCCGATAATAGGGTTTTAAGAGTGTTTCTAATTGGCCCTGTCAATTTGCACAACTTCAATCAGCAGTTATTTCCCCCTTTTATTGATAGCTAAATATGGGCATACTAAGGCACAAATTGGGTATTAACTGCATTTTGTTGAATGAATTTTCAGAACAGAAATATATAACAATGCATTTAGACAAGGAATTGAAGCATAACTTGAAGCAACTATGAAAACTCTATTCAAAGAACTGAGGTAAAATCTTACCCTTACTACACTGAGGAATGTTTATCATAATTTCAGGATCATTCTTCAAACTGAATGAAACATTTTTTCGTGGTGTTTTTGCTAGTTCTGAAGCTGTAAACAGACAAAAGAAATATATAAAACAATCTTTAATGGATGACAGCAGATGAAGGGGGAAATAGCTTTATTTCACTTATAAAGTTCTTTTTTTTAAAGATTCATTTATTTTAGACGGAGAGAGAGAGACAGAGCGCACATGTGCTCAAGAGTAGGGGGAGGGGCAGAGGGGAGAATCTTCAAGCAGACTCCCACTGAGCGTGGAGCCTGATGTGCGACTCAATCCCATGACCCATGAGACCTGAGCCAAGATCAAGAGTTAGTTGTTTAACCAACTGAGCCACCCAGGTGCCCTTCACTTACATAAATTCTTAGGGGAAAAAAAAAGAAACCTGACTGCTACTATTACCAGGAAGATAAATAAACCTACCCATATTAAGAGTACTGCCTCTTACCTTTATTTGCTATATTCCAAGCATCTTAAGTCTTCTTTCAATTATCTACAGATGTCTCAAGAAAATACAAATAAACAGTTTTGACCTTACTGCTTTCTATAATTGTCACTCTCTCTCCCTCTCCTCTCCATAGACAATTTTACACTCTTTCCATTTCTTTAACATATATATTTGAGGCATATCTTTGTTAGGGGTAAGAATGGCCAGAGAATAGGATCTAAAATCAAATGGAAGCTGTGTATATTTAAAATTTTATGCTTCAAAAACTCTTAAATCTCCCATCACATGTGGTATATTCTATTTTTTGTCTAAAACTCTATAATACATGTGAATAACATATAAAATTTAATATAGCATTGAACAGATGGCTGTTTCTTCAGTTGAACATCAGATTAAATAGTTGGCTTCTAAAATATAGGGCCATTTTAAAAGAAAACTAAAATCTTTACCTTTAAAGATACATACTTTCTCAGTAGCGTGAGAGGCATGTGGAATGAAGCCTAACTAAGGAATAGATTTATATTTCCCAATTTAACACACGGGCACGTTGTTCACTGAGAAGAAAGTGAACATTATATCCCCCCCATTTTTTTTAAAGGAGAAAGTACACTTGAATTCGTGTAAGTTAAAGCCACTTTACTCAAACTCTTCCTGTTTCACAGTTTTATCCTCCAAACTGGAAAGTGATCCAAAATACTCATGACAGTCCCCACAAATGTACTGCCTTCTTTTTTAACTAACCTCCTCAGTCTTCTGTATCATTCACTAGAGGTTTTTTTTCATCTTTCTTTGAAATTATTCCTCCGTTTGGGTTCTATGACATTATTCCGGCCCCCAGCTATTGCTGGTAGCTATTCCATCTCTTCCCTGCTGTCTCCTCTGCACATTCTATCTCTAAGTATGCCTAAAATCAGCCCTTTGCTTTCTCTTTACACCAGAATAATGTACTATGTTTGGATTAAAGGCTGTTGACCCAAAGGATAGGGGAAAAAAAACTTCACATCAACAAAAAGCAACATAAGCACAAAGTAATTTAGCTGGGATCATTTTGGTCTTATGTTGCAACATGGAAAAATTCTGTTTTTAAATAACTATTAAACTACAAAAGGGAAGGAAAAGGAAAAGTTGAAGAGGAAAAAGAATAAAAGACAGTTAATTACATATGGCTATTGACTCTACTAATAAAAAATTGGGGCATATATTCTGTATCTTTTTCTTTTCATTTTTCTAATAATTCATTTGTATTGTATTTTACACAACTGGTCTGCAACATATTGGAAATTTTATTTTATTTATTTATTTTTAAAGAGGGAACACAAGCAGGGGGAGTGGGAGAGGGAAAAGCAGGCTTCCCAGTGAGCAGGGAGCCCGACGAGGGGCTCGATCCCGAAGGCAGATGCTTAATGACTGAGGCACCCAGGGGCCCCCATATTGGAAATTTTAAAATAAAATTTTAAAATCTTTGCCTTCTCATTAGGCTATTATTTATCCTATCATCCAATCTATTTTTAATTTCCTAAAGTCATCCCTTTCTACAAGCTCGTTGAACTCCTTACTGTCCTCTCCTTGGTACTTCTACCTTAGCTCTTTTGTTTGCATTAATTTACTCATCCCAAACATGTATTTTAAAAAAGCCTCCCTGTCGGGCGCCTGGGTGGCTCAGTCAGTTAAGCGACTGCCTTCGGCTCAGGTCACGATCCTGGAATCCCAGGATCGAGGTCCGCATCGGGCTCCCTGCTCAGCAGGAAGTCTGCTTCTCCCTCTGACCCTCTTCCCTCTCGTGCTGTCTCTCATTCTCTCTTTCTCAAATAAATAAATAAAATCTTAAAAAAAAATAAAAGCCTTCCTAACTCCTAGTATTTTTAGTCCTATATCTTCATTAGCCCAATTATATTTAATCATTTATACACAGTAATATATGATTTTATGGCAGGTTAGAGTTATTCAAAAAACACTAAGGCTGGGGCGCCTGGGTGGTTCAGTTGGTTAAGTGTCTGACTTTGGCTCAGGTCATGATATCAGCGTCCTGATACCAGGCCCTGCATCGGGCTCTGTGCTTCTCCCTTTCTCTCGGCCCCTGCCCCTGCTTGCGCTCTCTCTCAAATAAATAAAATCTTTTTTTTTTTTAAAGATTTTATTTATTTATTTGTCAGAGAGAGAGAGCGCGTGCACAAGCAGGGGGAGCAGGCAGAAGAAGCAGGCTCCCCGTGGAGCAAGGAGCCCGATGTGGGACTCAATCCCAGGACGCCGGGATCGTGACCTGAGCGGAAGGCAGATAACTGAGCCACCCAGGCGTCCTTCAAATAAATAAAACCTTAAAAAAAAAAAAAATACTAAGGCCTTCTACTTCATTGATATAATTAGATGTAAACACAATTAGCAACAATACTTAGTAAGTCAAAGAAACTCTTTGAAGAGCATTACAACTAAAGTCCTAACTAGATTTTAGAAAGTATGATCAATCTCAAATTATCCAGAAAACCATCTTTTCATGACTTTATGTATTTTTCCTTTTTTAAAGATTTTATTTATTTCACAGAGACAGAGAGAGCACAAGCAGGGGGAGTGGGAGGAGAAGCAGGCTCCCCGCTGGGTAGGGAGCCCAATGTGGGGCTCTATCCCAGGACCCTGGCATCATGACCTGAGCCAAAGGCAGACGCCCAACTGAGCCATGCAGGCGCCCCCATGACTGTATATTTCTTTCATTTATGATAACAGAAATGTACAACATAACAATGCTTAAGTTTCTTGCAGCCGATATAATGTAAGACATACATCATGGTTATTATATGCATGTTGATTATCTATTTGGAGAACTTCTACTTGATTACTCTTCTGGGGCTCCTCTCCACTATTAGTTCTCTTTCTCCAATGTTCTTTGTCCTACTTCATGGTTCTGGGGTTTCAGGTTAGTCTTGGTGTCTATCTGATCCTTTCTCTAATAATTGTTTTAACATTTATTCTCTGGTTTCCCAGAGATCTTACACAGAATGCAGTCATTTTTACAGATCGAAAAACTTTCAATTTCTTGATGTGGATTATAAACACTAAGAAACAGATCAGTTAATGTAAATTATTATACATACCATGCTAGCTTCAAAATTAATAATGAATTTCGTATTATACCTTTTGGAAAAACTGAATTTTGCAAATGATTAAATATTATTATGTTCTATAACACAGGTCTTACAATTACTTCTATGTCCCTCATCAGTGTCAACACTTAAGTTTTTCACTTGATCTTGAATGTTTACCTGGTTACTGGCCAGAATGACTGCATAAAAATACACCACTTCAGAAATATATGTTGGTGTTCTGTAATTATACATTATAAGCCCTATTAAACAACTATTACATTTTACTGGGTAGTTAATTATTATTCCCTTACTCTTGACTTCTTGGTGTTCCCAAACCTTCATATACTTATGGACCTCCTTAATTTTCAAACTGCTTTCACATGTTATTTCCCTTCCTCAAAGCTTTCAAATCTGACCCCTCATACCACAGAACCCAAATAAAGTGCCATCTGAATTTTTACTGGATTGACAGTTTAATTTTAATGTTAAATGTAATTTATTTTAGTCTGGTTTTTCTAAAAATCAGTAATTCATGTGTAATTAGTATAAGTGGCAAACTGAGTAAGAAAATGTCACAATAGCCCATTTGTAACAATTTTATAGTTTTCTACATTTTTTTCTTTTTTTTTTTTAAGATTTTTATTTATTTGACAGAGAGAGACACAGCGAGAGAGGGAACACAAGCAGGGGGAGTGGGAGAGGGAGAAGCAGGCTTCCTGCCGAGCAGGGAGCCCGATGCGGGGCTCGATCCCAGGACCCCGGGATCATGACCTGAGCCGAAGGCAGACGCTTAACAACTGAGCCACCCAGGTGCCCCTACAATACATTTTTCTATACATAGCATAAAATTCTTATTTAATAAATTCAGAGTATCTGTGACTTAAGTCACTCATATACTTAAAAATTTCTTCAGAACCTATATGTGGGAAGATGAAGACAGGAGTCCTACTATGAGATGCTTAAAACCTATCTGAGAACAGAAGACACATATGAGCATGAAAAACTGACTATGTATGCTTGAAAATGTGATATAAAATGACATCCCTCATTCTTTTAGGGAATGCAATAACTGTGGAGAATGTGGTTAAATACACCTTTTAGAAAAGCAACATACCTAATTTGGCCATCTTTTCAGAGTGTTTTCTATTCTGAAAAGAATAAACTTTATTCCCACCATCTGCAGCAGAGCCGTTTTTCAAGGATTCTGAAAGAGAAAATGCAGTATGTTTTGGAAATATTAGCAAAATTAACAGAAAAAAAGATAAAATCTTAAGATTTGCACCGCCCCACTGTCTTGCATAAAGGTTTAACAATACACTATTTATACATAAAATATTTTAAAACACACAAGAGAACTGTTTATATAAATTTGAAACACAGAAAACATATTATTCTTCACGAGTACACACAAATTAGATATATAAACACACACACATAGCCCCCCCCAAAAAACCCCTCCAGACTAGAGGGATATCCATTCAATTCATGATAGTGTTGGCCCTGAGGAGGGAAAACTGAAGGGACTCGAATAGGTTTTCTTCTTGAAGCAAACACGCAAAGTACAACTGAGCTAATTGAGGCTGAGATTTAAATCATTGTTACATGGTGGAAGCTCTCCTACTCCCTATCAAGACAGTGACTTAATTTCATTCTTCAATCATCCCTTTAAATAACAGCTGCTACCTACAACATACCAGATACTCATGGCTAGTAGCCTACTCTCTGGCACAGCAATTCTCCAAGTGTGGTGGCGTCAGGTCTCTCAGGTCCCTGAGGCGAAAACTATTTCATAACACTAAGACATTATTTGACTTTTTCTCAATCAAGAGTGGAGAGTGAGGTATTCCAGAGACAACATTATGTGTGATGACAGCACCATCCTGTGGGTTAATGGAACGTGTGAAGCAGATATGAAAATTCAGCTGTCTTCTATTAAGCCAGACATTTGCAAAAATGTAAAACAGTGACTTATTTTTTTTTTGGAAATAGTTGTTTTTTGTCTAAATATATTTATGTCAATATGTATTGGGTTTATTATTGTTATTACAAAACAGTGCCAGATTTTTCCAAAGTCAGTGTGCACTATCCTTACTGTTTAAGAGTCCCTATTTTATATGCACTAATACTTGGCATTATCCAAACTCCTTAGTCTTTGCCAGTCGAGTGGGTGTAAAATGAATCTTACGGGGAGAGTTGTTTTAATTTCCCTTTTCCTAATCACTAATGAGGTTGAACATCTTTTCAAAACTTTATTTCCAAGGAAGAAATATCTTCTTTATCCTGTGACTTGTCTTCTCACCTCTTTATGATGACATTTGATGAAGAGAAGTCCTAAATTTTTTTTCAAAGACTTTGTTTTAAAAGCAGTTTTAAGTTCAGAGCCAATTTGAATAGAAGGTACAGAGATTTCCTATATACTTCCTGCCCTCACAAATGTACAGCCTCCTCCAGCTACCAACATCCCACACCAGAGTGGTAGATTTGTTACAATCATGAACCTACACTGACACCTCATTAACATCCCAAGTCCATAGCTTATATTAAGGTTCACTTTTTTTTTTTTAAAGATTTTATTTGAGAGAGAGAGAGACAGAGATAGCGAGAAGAGAGCATAAGCGGGAAGGAGAGAGAGAAGCAAGCTCCCACTGGGCAGGGAGCCCAACGTGGGGCTCGATCCCAGAACTCTGGGATCATGACCCGAGCTGAAGGCAGACGCCCAACCAACTGAGCCACCCAGGTGCCCCAAGGTTCACTCTTGGTGTGGTACATTCTATAGGCTTTTTTTTTTTAAGTTTTTATTTAAATTCTAGTTAGTTAACAGTTAACCAATATAGTTAATATTGGTTTCAGAGGTAGAATTTAGTGATTCAGTGCTTATATATAATACCCAGTACTCATCATAACAAGTGCCTTCCTTAGCACCCATCAGCCATTTAGCCCCTTCCCCACCCACCTCCCCTCCAGCAACCCTCAGTTTATTCTCTATAGTTAAGAGAGTTAAGAGTCTCTTATGGTTTGCCTCCCTCTTTTTTTTCCCCTTCTTCTATGTTCATCTGTTTTGTTTCTTAAATCCCACATGAATGAAATCATATGGTATTTGTCTTTGACTTATTTCACTTAGCATAATACCTTCTAGCTCCATCCATGTGGTTGCAGATGGCAAGATTTCATTCTTTTTGATGCATTCTATAGCTTGTGACAAAAGTATGATGACATGTATCCACCACTGTAGTATAATACAGAATAGTTTCAATGCCCTAAAAATTCTCTGTACTCTACCTGTTCATACCTCCCAACCCCTGATGCCTGGCAACCACTGATCTCTTCACTGTCTCCGCAGTTTTGCCTTTCCTAGAATGTCATACAGTTGGTATCATAGCCAGTAGCCTTTTCAGATTGGCTTCTTTCACTTAGTAATAAGCGTTTAAGGTTCCTCCACATCTTTTCATGTCTTGATAGCTTTTTATTTAAAGTGCTGAATAATATCCCACTGTATGGATATATCAGTTTATTTATTCTTTGTTAACTTTTTGGTTGCTTCCAAGCCATAGCAATTATGAACAAAGGTTCTATAAACATGTGTGTGCAGGTTTTTGAGTGGAGGTAAGTTTTCAACTCATATGAGTAAATACAAAGAAGCACAACTGCTAGATCATATGGTAAGAATATGTTTACTTTGTAAGAAACTGCCAAACTGTCATCCAAAGAGTTGTTCCATTTTGCATTCCCACCAGCAACAAATGAGAATTCCGGTTGCTCCACAGATTTGCCAGCATTTGGTGCTGTCAATGTTTTGCACTTGGGCCATTCTAATAGGTGTGTAAGTGGTATCTCATTGTTTTAATTTGCAATTTCCTAATGACATATAATGCTTTTAGTATATTTTCATGTGATTATTTGCCATCTATAGATCTTCTTCGGTGAGATGTCCAGTTCCTCTGCTCATTTTTATTTTTTTAAAAGATTTTATTTATTCATTTGCCAGAGAGAGAGAGAGCACAAATGCGGGGAGCAGCAAACAGAGGGAGAAGGAGGCTCCTCGCTGAGTCCTCTGCTCATTTTTAAATCAGGTTATTCATTTTCTCACTGTTGAGTTTTAAGAGGTCTTTGTATTGAGTAACATTCTTTTAAGATTTATTTATTTGAGAGCAAGAGAGATCACAGAGGGAGAGGGAGAAGCAGACCCTACCCCCCCAAGCAGAGAGCCTGATGTGGGGCTTGATACCAGGACCCGGAGACCATGACCTGAGCCGAAGGCAGACGCTTAACCAACAGAGCTACCCAGGCGCCCCTTAGGTAACATTTCTTTAACAGATGTGTTTTGCAAATATTTTCTCCTAATCTGTGGTTTGTCTTCTTGAGAAGTGAATTTTAATTAGAATATGTCAATCTTTTGATGACATTAAACTAAAAGAAATTCTTCTAATAAAGTCAAAACCATATTCTCTTGTATTTTCTTATAAAAGCATTTACAGGGGCGTCTGGGTGGCTCAGTTGTTAAGTGTCTGCCTTCGGCTCAGGTCATGGTCCCAGGGTCCTGGGATCGGGCCCCGTGTCAGGCTCCTGCTTGGCAGGAGGCCTGCTTCTCCCTCTCCCACTCCCTCTGCTTGTGTTCCCTCTCTTGCTGTGTCTCTATCAAATAAATAAATAAAATCTTAAAAAAAAAAAAGCATTTCCATTTGCTTTTTTTAATGTAAATCTTAAATTAAGGTAATTAACTTGTTTATGATGGGAGGTAGAGATCCAGTTTCTTTTATTCATAAGGATACCCAACTGGCTCAACGCTATTTACTGACCAGTTCATCCTTAGCTGAGCGATCTTCAATGCTACCTCTCTCATATATCGGATTTTCATGTATGCATGAGTCTGTTTATGGTAAACCTGTCTTTATGTAACTTAAATGTCTGGCACAGAGACAAAATATTTAAAGATACTGAGTGGTTTCTCTGTAAACTAAATTAAATGCTTTAGAAATATTTGATAAAAGTTATTAACTAAAACAAATGGTTTCAAATTAGATATGGATGAGAAGCCATAAAAGATTTAAAAAAAATTTGAAAAAATATAAAAGCATACTACACCAAGACTGCATTAAAAGTGTCTTTAAATGTACAATCTAATGGAGGGAAAGAAAACCTGAAATCCCAGATGATGCATGCATTATGGATATATTGTCTAAAAAAATCCAACACCAAAATCAAAAGGTAATGCTGTTCTTCAACCAGCTGACCTCTAGCAAACTTCTAATTAAAGAAAAGACTGTGGGGGGGGGGGCGCCTGAGTGGCTCAGTGGTTTAAGCGTCTGCCTTTGGTTGAGGTCATGATCTCAGGATCCTGGGATCACTGGCATGGGGCTCCCTGCTCCGTGGGAAACCTGGTTCTCCCTCTCGCTGGCCACTCCCCCTGCTTCTGCGCTTGCTTACTCTCTCAAATAAATAAATAAAATCTTAAAAAAAAAAAAAAAAGACAAGACTGTGGGGTTTGTGTGTGTGTATGTTTATATATATATATGTTTATACATAAAAATGTTTAGAGGGGCGCCTGGGTGGCTCAGTTGGTTAAGCGACTGCCTTTGGCTCAGGTCATGATCCTGGAGTCCTGGGATCGAGTCCCACAACGAGTCCCACAACGGGCTCCCTGCTCAGCAGGGAGTCTGCTTCTCCCTCTGACCCTCTTCCCTCTCGTGCTCTCTCTCTCATTCTCTCTCAAATAAATAAATAAAATCTTTAAAAAAAAAAAACTTAAAAAAAATGTTTAGAGTACAGTAGTTATTTTTGTGATTTTCTGGTTCTGACATTTCGATTGACTAATTAACAATGGTTCTAATCACACTAGCCAAGATTTTACTATAATACATATAAAACTTTTTAACAGGTTTTAAATTACTCAAAATGCACAAAACCAAAAAATTATGAAAAACCATGGAAAAATTAAAATGGGTAATAAATGTAAGAAAAAATGTTTAATGCCAGTGAGGGATCTTAATACTAGTTGATATAATCTTTCTAGAAAGCAATTTGGCAATATGTATGCCTTATAGAGTTGATACACCTTCACCAATAATTCTACTGCTAGGAGTCTCTTATGAAGAAATAAAAGATCTAAACAAAGATTTATATCTAAGGATAATCCCTACTGCATTCATTACAATAAAAATTTAGAAACAATCCAAAAGTCTAATAGAGGCCTATTATGTTATTTATAAATCTGAATGCAATACTACAGAAATAACACTACCATTTCACACCCATTAGGAAGGCTATTAAAAAAAAAAAGACAAGTGTTGGTAAGCATACAGAGAAACTGGAATGCTTATGCATTGTTGGTGGAAATGTAATTTGGTGTAGCTGCTGTGGAAAACATTATGGCAGTTCTTTAAAAAATTAAAAATAGAATTACCATATGATCCAGCAATTCCACTTCTGGGAATATACCCAAAAGAATTCAAATCAGGGTCTCAAAAAGATACTTGTACACCCATGTTCATAACAGCATTATTCAGAGGCCAAAAGGCTGAAGCCACCCAATGTCCACTGACTGATGAATGGTTAAACAAAACGTATATACATACAATGCAGTAGTATTCAGCCTCAAAAAGGAAGGAAATTCTGACACATGCCACAACATGAATGAACCCTGAGAACACTATGGTAAGTGAAATAAACCAGTCACACACAAAAATACTGTATGATTCCACTTATATGAGGTACCTAAAATAGTCAAATTCAGAGAGAAAGTAGAATGGTGGTTGTTGGGCTGTGGGGAGGAGGGACTGGGGAGTTTTTTAATGGGTAGAATTTCAGTTTTGTAAAATGAAAAGAGTTCTGGAGATTGACTACAAAACAATGTTAATGTACTTAATACTGAACTACACACTTTAAGATGAGAAATTTTATATTACATATATTTTACCACAAGTTTTATTTATTTATTTTCTCCCAATTTTTTAATCTTTTTTTTTTTTTTTTTTACAATTTTATTTAGTTGACAGAGCACAAGCAGGTGGAATAGCAGGCAAAAGGAGAAGGAGAAGCAGGCTTCCCGCCGAGCAAGGAGCCTGATGTGGGGCTCGATCCCAGGACCCTGGGATCATGACCTGAGCCGAAGGCAGCTGCTTAACCAACTGACCCACCCAGGTGCCCCAATTTTTTAAAAAAGATTTATTTTAGAGAGCGTGAGAGTGGGGGGAGGGACAAAGGGAGGGGGAGAGAGAGAATCCCAAGCAGACTCCACACTGAGCCCAATGCAAGGCTCGATCCCACAACCCTGAGATCATGACCTAAGTCAAAACTAAGAGTCAGATGCTTAGATGACTGAGCCACCCAGGTGCCACTCTCATAATTTTTAAAAAGAGATTTTATTTAACAATTAAAAACCTGACATAATCGTTAAGTTCAAAAATGGAACTGTGAATAAAGCAAAATTAAATATAATATGAATGGGGTGCCTGGGTGGCTTAGTCAGTTAAGCGGCTGACTTCAGCTCAGGTCATGCCCTCAGGGTCCTGGGATGGAGCCTTCCCTTAGGCTCTGCACTTGGTGGAGAATCTGCTTCTCCCTCTCCCTTCCCCCACTCATGCACGCGCACTCTCTTTCTCTCTCTCAAAAAAATAAATAAAATCTTTAAATAAATAAAGAAAGAATGGACCACATATTGGTCATGGAATTTTCTAGCAGCTAACTTATAAGAATCAAGTATCCAAAAAAAACCACTTTAAAGACAAATATATTGTTTTCAATCTCTTCTTAGGTCTACCATAACAGGAATCAAGAATCCAAAGTTCTGGGGCGCCTGAATGGCTCAGTCGGTTAAACATCTGACTTTGGCTCAGGTCCTGATTTCAGGGTCTTGGGATCAAGCCCCACGTAGGGCTCCTCACTCAGTGGGAAGTCTGCTTGTCCCTCTGCACCCCCCATCCCGCTCATGCTCTCTTGCTCTCTCTTAAATAAATACAAATCTTAAAAAGAAAAGAAGAAGAAGAATCTAAAGTTCTATTCAGAACATGCCCTAGTTGGGGACTAGGTTTGGGGACACTTTTTAGAAGAATCCACTCTGCCCACTTAGTCTAGTGAGGGATAGTCGTCGTTTTTTTGTACCATGCCATTTAACATCAGAACTAAACCAGAAGCATTATGACTCAAGAAGTGACAAAAAGGTCAGGAGTAGTGATGATGGCCATTTATAAGTCAAATATGAGACTAAAAAGCACGTACATGAGAGAGATTGGTAACACAGAAAGAGAATGGATGCACAGAGATGACCTCCTGAAGGAGACTAGGAGATCCATAAAAGCAAAGTCCCTAGGTTTGTAATGTGGTCTCAGTTCCAATGTCCCTAGTGCCCAACAATACAGATTTTGTTCCTTGGTCTTTAATTTTTCAAGCCAACTTAAGTAAATCTGTGTTCCTTGAGCCCTAACTAAAACATAAGCCTAAAAAATTTTAAATATAATCTGGCAGGAATCTGGCTTAGGTTTAAAAAAACAAAAAACATAACACTAGCATGCCTAGGTTGAAGCAATATTACTTCTGGGAATGTTCCTTCTATCTATCTATCTCCCACCCTCCCACGCCCCCCTTCCTTCCGTCCCTCCTTCCTTCCTTGCCCCCCTTTCCTTCCTTCCTTAAGAGACAGAGAGAGTGGGTGTGCGCGAGGCAAGGTGGGGAGAGGGGCAGGAGAGGGAGAGAATCTCAAGCAGGCTCCACACCTAGCACAGAGCCCGACATGGGGCAGATCCCAGAACCCTGAAATCATGACCCTAGCTGAAATCAAGAGTCAGACGCCTAACCGACAGAGCCACCCAGGTGGGCCCTGTCTAACTATTTCTGTAAAGAAGACCAAAGTAATAATGAAGTGACTTGCTTTATGAAATTATTTCAAATTAGTTAAAAATATAAATATCTTAACAAATAAGTTTAGATTGGTCTGTGGAATCTAAATATAATTAAGTGCACAACTGGTTGCTTGTGGGGGGAAAAAAAAAAACTAAAGAAAAATACTATAGTGGAAATTCAGTGCTTCCAACCTTCCAACTATACATAAAAACCTGAAGCAAATGCTTTTCTGGTGAGAAATATAATAATGTAGCATGCCTGATGAAAAGAGTTCTGGAGATGGATGGTGATAACAGCACAGCATCATCATGAATATATTTAATACAACTGAAGTATACACTTAATAATGTTAAAGATGGTAAAGTTTATATTATATGTAGTTTACAATAAAAAAAAATAATAATATAGCTTGCCACTGCCTAACCTACCAGACTACTGTTATGTATCCTGCAAAGCAGTTTCAGCTACTAGCAGAAATTTGAGTATACTTTCCCTACCCCAACTACCAAAATACCTTGAATATCTCGTCCTAAAACGTCCACATAGTTCTGATCTTTTAAGACTTCCTGGTCATCTTCTTCCAAATCATATTCTGGCTTTTTTATAATTTTTTTTGTGTTGACCAAAAGCTGAGCTCGTTCCTTTTTTAATTTAGCTCCTATAAGAACATCCAAAGAATTAGAACATGACAGGTATAAATTCTTTCCAAACATTACATTTAAATAAGTAAATAAACTGTAATACTTATACTGTCATTATTTAAAATCTGGAAAAAAATTCAGTGTTTTCTCTCTGATGAAAGTATGTACCACTCTTCACCACAGTTTATAATAATGTAAGGAAAAACCTTGAAAGTTTATTATTTTGGGGGTCACATTTTAATTACAATGGGTAGTTATCACGTACCCCTAATATTAAGTATTTCATATCAGATAAGGCTTTATTATTTTTAATTTTCAAAAGTTTGAATGGAATAAACTACAAAAGTAGTTTTTATTTAGTCTTACTAGGTCAAATACTTTGTGCTCTATTTTTAAAATAGAAGGTTAAAATATTTTAAAAAGTGAGATAATCCATAACCATCACATAAGCATCTCTTCAATTGTATAATCACTCAGTACCTCCTTCTCTATCAAGAATGTGATTAAGGACATCATCATCTCCCACAAACTGAACCTCCAGCATCTTGTCTTCCTTTAATTCCAGTTTACTCATCATTGCCAACCTAAACAAAAGCAATAAAGCACTCAAAAGTGATGAAAAATTCATTTCAACAACCAAATAAACATTCACATAATACATGTATTTATATTACATTTTAAAGAGTCTTAAGTATGAAAAATATATTATGCATTATCGTATTAATATTATGCTTTTGATAAAAGGTAAATCAACTCTTATCTGAAAAATGGGAAGTACAGGAAGTGGTGTCTGAGAGTTGGAAAAAGCCAAATTCAATCAAGGCAACTAAAATATAATAATGGGAAAGCAATTCTTCCTATAAAGAAAGCCTTAACCAATCTACAGAATGATTAACAGTACCAGAAAGGAGGTGTTTAATACATGAGAGTTTAGAGAAGGGGCAGACAAGCAAAGAATAATGGTTTGGTAGACTTTAGTGTCTGTTCACTAGAAACAGTCCATTGGGGGAAGTCCATGCATTTCACCGGTATACCAAACCTGGATCAAATAATCCTCAACTACCTCCCTTTACTATTATTGCATGCTTACCAAACAACTTTACAGTTAGAAAATGGTTTTCTGGGTATCCTGGTATCTAAACAGTAAACATGCAACTTTCCAATACTTTATAGTCAGTTCTTCACTGAACAGACTTCAGAATTTGGCAAACAAAAACTTGATCAACTCCTCCCTACTCTGAAAAAATTTCATTTCAGAACTTGTAATACCAATGGCCTCAAACTAAATAATGATGATCCCAACTGGCTCCCAGCTAATCAGTTTACCCAAAAAATGAATTTTTTCTCTCCTCTCTCCTATAAATCCTATTTTTGTTTTTTCTATCAATAATAGGAACTATGGACTATGTCACTCATAAGTTATTTGCATGCAGATAACTTACTAAATGCTGTCAAGTTTCCTTTTGTAACTAGCACACTTTTTTTTTTTAAGTTTATTTATTGGGGCGCCTGGGTGGCTCAGCTGTTAAGCGTCTGCCTTCAGCTCAGGTCATGATCTGAGGGTCCTGGGATCGAGCCCCGCACATCAGGCTCCCTGCTCCGCAGGAAGCCTGCTTCTCCTTCTCCCACTCCCCCTGCTTGTGTTCCCTCTCTCACTGTCTCTCTCTCTGTCAAATAAATAAATAAAATCTTAAAAAAAAAAAAGTTTATTTATTTATAATCTCTATACCCAACGTTAGGTTGAACTCACAACCAAGAGTCGTATGCTCTACCAACTGAGCCAGCCAGGCACATCCCTCACACTTTAAAAAAAAAAAAAATGACAGCTTTACTTTTTTTTTAAGTTTTATTTATTTAAGTAATCTCTACACCCAACGTAGGGCTCAAACTCATGACCTCGAGATTAAGAGTCATACACTCTTCCAACTGAGCCAGCCAGGTGCCCCTGGAACTAGCACACTTAAATGACTTGTCTTTATTTTCATTTACCTTTAAAAATACTACACATTCTGCAGCTGGAAAATTCAGGTAGTCACCTGCAATTATGAAAAGAACTTGGTCAAGGTCAGCTAATAGGATATGAAAGCAACCAAAGAAGTTCACAAGTTTTAATAAACAACATGAATAGATAAATGCAGCTTTTACAAAGTTATTATGATGGCATAGTAAAGGACAAAACAACCATCAGTATTTTGGCCAGGAAGTACTAGACACTGAGAAGATCTGGACTGTGGGGGCAAGTGGCTGGAATGAGGAGGCCAACATTTGAGCACTTACTATATGCTGGACACAGTTTTGAATATTCTATACGTATTTTCATTTAACCCTCATAACAACTCTATTAAGGCTTATGTTTTGTGTATAAAGATAATACTTCATCTATAATTTATATAACCGTTGCCAGGAGAACATATCCTTTTGGGCCATCTTTCTAGTCATGATACTGCTTTCTATTATGGGGAATTTGGATGTATTAGAGAAAAAGTTTAATGCATCTACATATTTGTATATAATAAAGAAACTTATTTCTTTATAGATATATAAAAGCTTTTCTGAGGGGCTGTCAGGCACTCTATTAGGTACTTTCATGCATAGTAGATCATTAAATCCTCAGATTCTCTGAGGTAGTTAAAATATATATAATTTCCCCAATACACAGATGAGTAAACTGAGATTAACTATTAAATTACTCATCCAAATTTATACAACTAGAAAGTGTGTTAGGGCTAAAACCCAAGTCTGACTGATTCCAAAGTCCCTAATCATTCTATTACACACTTCTCCCGCCATTAAATACAAATTTGTTATACCTTTTGTTCTTTAAAAAAGATTTATTTATTTATTTATTTTAGAGTGAGAGATAAAGAGTGGGGGGAGGGGCAGAAGGAGAGGGAGAAAGAGAATCTCCAGCCGACTCTCCAATGAGTGCAGAACTGGATACGGAGCTAGATCCTGCAATCTGGAGACCAGGACCTGAGCCAAAACCAAGAGTCAGACACTTAACCTACTTGCCACCCAGGCACCCCAAATCCGTTATCCTAAATGCTTGTTCTGACCTCTGGATACTATTCATAATATATCTAATCATTTTCCCACTTGGCAGTTCAAACATCCAAAGATTTCTATATTTCCAGTTCCTCTATGTTTCCAGTTCATCAAGTTAAACATGCCTAGTTCTATCAAGCATACTTTTAAAAGCATGCCCAGATTCAGTCTAATCTATATTGTTTTATTACTTATTTTTAATTTTTTTTTTAAGATTTTATTAATGTGACAGAGAGAGAGACACAGCGAGCAAGGGAACACAAGCAGGGCGAGTGGGAGAGGGAGAAGCAGGCTTCTCCAAAGGATATGAAGTAGTGACAATAAGCAAATGCAATAAAACAAATAACAAACTATAATACTAATAGGCAGTCTGGATCCAGGAAAATATAAAGAAAGCAGAAAATAGGGGCACCTGGGTGGCTCAGTCGGTTAAGCGACTGCCTTCAGCTCAGGTCATGATCCTGGAGTCCTGTGATTGAGTCCCACATCAGGCTCCCTGCTCAGCAGGGAGTCTGCTTCTCCCTCTGTCCCTTCCCCCTCTCATGTGCACTCTCTCATTCTCGCTCTCTCAAATAAATAAATAAATAAATAAAATCTTAAAAAAAAAAAAAAAGAAAGCAGAAAATACATCATACAAAGAATTTGGGCTTGGGGCGCCTGGGTGGCTCAGTCGTTAAGTGTCTGCCTTTGGCTCAGGTCATGATCCCAGGGTCCTGGGATCCAGCCCTGCATCGGGCTCCCTGCTTGGCAGGAAGCTTGCTTCTCCCTCTCCCACTCCCCCTGCTTGTGTTTCCTCTCTCGCTCTCTCTGTCAAATAAATAAGATCTTTAAAACAAACAAACAAACAAACAATTTGGGCTCTGAGCTAACTGGCAATCAAAGCGAAAAAGGAGTAAAGCTCAGTTACATGATTCTCATGAGCAAAAGTTCAGTGGTTCCTTCGGGGAAAGATTTTCAAGAAAAAAAATTTTTTTTTTTTTTAAAGATTTTATTTATTTGAGAGTGAGAGAGAGAGAGAGCATGAGAGGGGGGAGGGTCAGAGGGAGAAGCAGACTCCCTGCTGAGCAGGAAGCCCGATGCGGGACTCGATCCCGGGACTCCAGGATCATGACCTGAGCCAAAGGCAGTCGCCTAACCAACTGAGCCACCCAGGCGCCCAATTTTCAAGAAAAATTTAAAAACAAATTCCAGACAACTGAATATTGTCCAATTTCCTTATGGTATTTTACAGAAGAACTGCCTGGACAGAGGCACCCTAGCTTAATCTTGTTTGTAGTTGAATACATTTATATGTAATTTCTTTTTCTAGATATTAAGGCATCTTATTACACAGTACAGAACCACCAAACTGAAGAAACTTCTTCGAAGACCTTGAAAGAAACCTTTCCTTCCTTCTCCAACAATTTCTGGAAAACAAAACAAAACACACAAAAAACCACTACTTAACAACCACACAATAAAATGCAAATTTTTAGCGACCATCTACTCTTCAAGGCACTGTCTCTGGGTGCTTATTTTTGTTTTTTTTAAAGATTTTATTTATTTATTTATTTGACAGAAAGAGAGAGAGAGAGATAGCGAGAGCAGGAACACAAGCAGGGAGAATGGGAGAGGGAGAAGCAGGCCTCCCGCTGAGCAGGGAGCCCAATGCGCGGGGGCTCAATCCCGGGACCCTCGGATCATGACCTGAGCCAAAGGCAGACGCTCAATGACTGAGCCACCCAGGCACCCCCTCTGGGTGCTTATTTTTAAGTGGGACTTCTTTCAAGGAGTTAACAACAAGGCAGGTAATACAGCAGCACCAAAAGAATATTAACAGCAACATACCCTCCTTTGAGAGCAAATAAAGGATTGCTACAATTTTTAAAAACATAATCCTTTTTAAAAAAAAGGTTAAACACCAATTTTAGTATCAGATAAACCTGGGTCTTAACTCCACACTCATACCTGCGTGACTTCAGACAGAATTGTGACGATTAAATGAGATCATGTGCTTGGCATATGAAAATGCTAATTAAATGTTTCCTATCATCAGCTTCTTTAAGCTTCAACTTACCCACGTAGATCTCATGAAGTTGCAAAGCCTCAAATTTATCAATGCCACCCATTTCCTCTATCAGAAGACTCTACATCTCCTCTAACAGAAAAGGTGCTTAGTAAATGATCAATGAATGTGTGCAGTGCCAATACACAAAGGTGTAGGGCCAGGCTATTTTTCTTCAGATTGCACCTGAACTAGGGGAGGTATAATGGTTTTATTAGGATTTTAGTTCTAAGACGAAAAGTAATGCATCCACATCCTTTTAATTTAAAAAGCTCTACCAGAAGAGCCTGGTTCATCCACATTTTACAACCAAGCATTGTCCCAGGGTGACTGTTAGTGAGCAGGATTCCAGACGGGGATGACATCTAAGGTTCTCACTGCTGTGGTAGTTCTGGGAAGAAATCTCCTCCTCCTCAGCCCTCACTGTGCCCGCTCCTCGCAGGTCACTCTACACTTTGGTTACAGATTTTCAGTTTTCTCTTTACAAGCACAAGGCTCTTTAAGCCGAGAAACTGATAGGTTGGTAACGCGTCCCTTGCACAGAAGGCCTATCAGTGCTGGAGACCGACCAACGGTGCTTCCAGAAGGAGCCTCTCACCCCAACAAGGATTTATGGACTTTGGCCGGTGCCTCGCGCCGCTTACCAGTTGGCCGCGCTCCGCCAGCGGAGAGTCCTCGCGCCCGCGGGGGCCGGGAGCAGCCTGGGGAGGGCAAAGGGGGAGGCGCAGCGACCCAGCCCGGGGCGCCGAGGGGAAACCCTCTCCGAGACGCGGACCCCAGCTCGGCTGCGGGGCTGGGCGCCACCGGACTCACCTCACAAACCCCGCGCTAAGAGAGAGGGGGAAGCGGGCTGCCGCGTTGTCCCACCACGCACCTCTAGATCTTCACCAGGCGCCGCTCCGGCCTCCCCGCGCCTGCCGGACGATACCCCGCTGACTGGGAGCCGCAGGGAAGGCGGCGTGGGCCCCAGCAGGAAAGGCCAAATTCCGGCTAAGCACAGCCGGAGAGGGTCGCAGAGTATCAGAGTCCCCTAGGGCAGCCCGGAGGCCGGCTGGGGGATGGGAGGCCTGCCTGGGGCACACCGAATCTCCCGCCCTGCTCAGGGGGCGGAGTCCAGAAAAGCCAATAGAAAGCGGAGTCAGCCGAGAGCGACGTCGCTGCCCGCCAGTCGGTCTCCGGCTGTCGGCCCCGCCCATCAAGAAACCTGAGGGAAACGAATCCCTAAACCCTGAGTTCTGGGCCTTTCCTGTCCTCTTTCCGTTTCCGGGGAAGGGGGAAGGAAGTGTTGGTTACACTTGGAGAAATTTGCAGAGGCGTAGTAGGTGTGTGTTAAGGTAATCTTAAAAGTCTTCATTAGTTTCTCTAGACACCTTCTTTTGAGGAAAAAGATAATGGGAATGAATCTGCGTTTGTGTTTTTTTTTTATTTTTTTATTTATTTGACAGCACAAGCAGGGGTAGTGGAAGAGGGAGAAGCAGGCTCCCCGCTAAGCAGGGAGTCCCATGCGGGACTTGATCCCAGGACCCCGAGAGCATGACCTGAGCCGAAGCAGACGCTTAACTAACTGAACCAGCGAGGCGCCCCTGTGTTTTGCTTTTTAAACTTTATTTCACCTATTTGGGGTGAAAGGTAGGATTCCATACATCTCAAGGGTTTGGAGTAGGGGAGAAGGGAGACATTCCTCTCTGGAAACAAGAGAATATGGAAATGGGATCAGACTGCTAAGGGGATGGAGAGACTAATAGAATGAATAGATATACAAAGAGCTAATGAAGAAAAGGACTGAACCTACTAGGTATACAGTATTACCCACCAACAGAATACTATTTCATTTGGATTCATTTATTCAAAACAACACTACAGAATTTCCTGTGTACTAAATAATGATAAACCATTGAGTGAGACAAACACGATCTCTGCTGTCACAGTAGATGCTATAGGGGAAGATATTGAACAGACAAGACTGAGAAAAATCCTACCATATGAGAAGTTCAGCGTTTATTGGACCACGTGGCAGAAGTATCTAAAGGACAGAAGTCAGGAACAATTTCCTTGGAGGAAGAGATGTTTAAACTGAGAGTTGAGTAGATTTAAGCCAGGCAAAGAGGAAGGGTAAAATTTTCCAGGTAGAAAGCCCAAATAAATATAGCAGGTGCATAAAGGGCCAAGAGGCAAGTGCCAAAGTTGGGTCTGTTGTTTTGAGGGCTAGTTTGGCTCTTGGTGCACTAGTCAGAGTTGTAGTAAAAGATCACTCTGGATAAAGGAGGTAAGAGTCGGAGCATAAGGAAGGAAGAGATGGAATCACCATTTTGGAAGATGTTTAGGAAATCCACTTGAGAAAGAAATGATAGCCTGGATACCTCAATATTCCCTTTTGGTTGGCAGAATTTAAGAAAACAAAGGATAAAGGTAATTTTCTCTACATTGGAAATAAAGAATCTGGGGAAGGGTGAGTAGAAAAAAGAAGAGGAATGAACATAGTCAACAGTTAATGAAGTGCTTGAGAGGTTCTTAAAAATGTGAAGATCTAGGAATACTGAATATTTAACTAATATATTATGTTTCTATGATGTAAAATCTTCCATCTCCTCTTCAGATCTACACAAAAGTCCATAGACTCAGAGGCTTTGGTTTGAGTGGTGGGTTTTGTTTTTATGGTATATTTGTGGAAAATAGAGGGAAGGAGCTGGGGGGAGGTCCCATTTCTCTTAGTCTTTTTCTTTCTTCTTTTTTTTTTGTTTTTTAAAGATTTATTTATTTATTTGACAGAGAACAAGCAGGGGGAGCATCAGGCAGAGGGAGAGGGAGAAGCAGTCTCCCCAAAGAGCAGGGCTTTATCCCAGGACTCCAGGATCATGACCTGAGCTGAAGACAGACACTTAAGCGACTGAGCCACCTAGGCGCCCCTCAGTCTTTTTCTTTGTATAGTTTAATTTATTCAGTTAACTTTGAGCACCTACCTGTATCAGGAACATAGTGCCCAGATATGTCCCTTACCATTAAGGGACTTTTTTTAAAGATTTTATTTATTTGACACAGAGAGACAGCAAGAGCAGGAACACAAGCAGGAGGAGTGGGAGAGGGAGAAGCTGGCCTACGGCTAAGCAGGGAGCTTCCCGATGTGGGGCTCTATCCTAGGACCCCAGGATCGTGACCTGAGCAGAAGGTAGACGCTTAACAACTGAGCCACCCAGGCGCCCCAGGAACTTAGATTCTTGTTGGGTAGAAAGAATCAGGTAATTTCATTACAATAAGGTTTAAGTGCAAGGATAGAATTTGCAGAGATCTACTAGGACAATGACCACTTAGTTCAGCTTAGCTAAGCAGAGGAAGGGCAGCAGAGGAAAAGCTTATCCAACTACAGATGACAGAGAATAGGGGTGGAAAAGGGATTTCAGGAAGAGAGTATGGTATTACAAACTGGGTGTGGTAGTACAAAGCAGTTTGGTGTTCATTTAAACCTTAAGTAAAAGTTAAGAATGATAGATGGAATGGGGAAGTCTGAGGCTAAAGAACAGAATTTATCTCTATGATGGAACCATTGAATAATTGTAACCAGGGACTGATGGGTGTTTTATATTAATCACCAATGAAGGTAAATTTGAGAGGAGCAGGGGTCTAGTTAGGAAGCTTTCAAAGCAGTCTGGATATGAAGATGAAGACAGGAGTTTGAACTGTAGTAATAAAACTAGAAAGGAAAGGATGAATTTGAAAAAAAAAAAAAGGCAAAGTCAGCAGGATTTGGAAACTGGATATAGACGTAAGGAAGAAGGAAAATATAAGTCCCAGGTTTCCGGCAAGGTTGTCTGGGTATCAGCTCCCCAGGGTGCTGTGAAAGATTACAGATAGAGGGAAAGAGTTTAGCTTGAGGCATCTTTACTTTGAAATCCCTTTGAAAGAGAGACATCAAATTATCCTGCAAACAGTGGATATAAGAGTTTGAAATTCATTCAAGAGATTGATAGAGATCCAGGGGTCATCAGTGTAGAGATTAAAGCCAAAGGGAGAAAAAAAGAATTTGCCTTAGGATGATGCATAAAATAAGAAATGAAGTGAGGTACCTCATCTTCTGAGACAGGCAGCAAGTAGATGTGCATAGTTGTAGATAAAGAGTTGTTCTTTGAAGTGGGAGAAAACAGGAAATTAAAACCTTCTAGCATTATGGCCTGCGTTTGGTGAAGTAAGAGCTGAGGCTCCTGAGAAAGTAGTACTTAAAGTAATGAAGCTTTGGAACAGAAACTGAAGGGAATGAGAAAGCAAGCAGGCCAAGAAATAGAAGGACCTCAAAGTGTTGGGGGCTTAAGGTTGGGGCTAGTGAAGTTGTATTGATGCCTATAGTGTTCAGTGAACTGAGTAAGGGAATAGAAAAGGTGGAGTGTAGCATTGATATGGACAAGTCATACACACACACACACATTGGATTCATCTCTTATATTGGCATTTACTGTTTTATATATTTCTCTGGGGGGAAAATTCTTGAGTCAGTGGTTCTGGGTGGAAGAGGAAAGCTTAACTATGAATGCAAATGATTGTTATAGGATTAAAGAGAGTTTTCAGTGCTAATTGCACATGAAAATTACCTGGGGAGGTGATAAAACTGCTAGATCCCAATCCCAGAGAGTGTGAATGTGGCCTGTGAATGTGGTCATCAGCAATGTCCCAGATGATTTTAACGTGCAACTAGGGTTGAGAACCACCGAGCTAGGGAGAATGAAAATTTTTGTCAAATGTGAAATCACCTAGATGTTATGCATAAAACACATACTTGCTAAGGGTATGATAGGTCTAGAATGGCAGTGGCAAATGCCTCAGCAAATAATATCTACCCAGAGTTTTTAAGATACCAATTTGATTTCAATCTTGCTCAGGAGAAAGTGATTACTTCTATCTGAACACTTAGGAAAAAAAGAGAATACAGTAGTGAAATCCTATTTTATCTCCAGTATTTTCTCATACCAGGGATGATGAGGCCCTCATAAGGCACAAAGGAGGGGCACCTGGGTGGCTCAGTCGTTGGGTGTCTGCCTTCTACTCAGGTCACGATCCCAGGGTCCTAGGATCGAGCCCCGCATCGGGCTATCTGCTCAGCGGGAAGCCTGCTTCTCCCTCTCCCACTCCCCCTTATTTATCAAAATAAATAAATAAAATCTTTTTAAAAAAATAAGGCACAAATTAGTAATGAAAGATTTGGCAGATTCTCCTTTAAAAATACATAGTAATTTAAACTGTTGGAAATGAGCCTTAGAATATAATCTTCAATACAGAAAGTTTTGCTGTGTACATAAAGCCATTATTTATAAGTTGTTAGTAAATTTCTATTGATTTTTTTATTAGATTTTATTTGAGATAGTGCGAGAGAGAGCACAAGCTGGGGGACAGAGGGAGAGGGAGAAGCAGGATCCCCACTGAGCAGGGAGCCCGACATGGGGCTTGATCCCAGGACCTTGGGATGGAGCCCGATTTGGGGCTTGATCCCAGGACCCTGGGACCACAACCCAAGCCAAAGGCAGACGCTCAACTGACTGAGCCACCCAGGTGCCCCAAATTTCTATAGATTTCTTAAAATTCTGATTTTCTTTGAGGAAATGGGGATATTTCCTACTGAATATTGATTGGAGAGAATAAAAAATATTTTTGAATTGCTTTTTAAATTATACAATGATTCAGAACTTAAGCTTGTATTGGGTAGCATGACCTGGCCATAAAATAATTTTCATTCCTAATGTGTATTAAAAAAGCATTGTTAAAGTGCCAAAAGTGGTCCTTCAAGAGTTATAGAAGTGAGACCCTTTTTTTTTAAGAATTTATTTATTTGACAGAGAGAGACACAGCGAGAGAGGGAACACAAGCAGGGGGAGTGGGAAAGGGAGAAGCAGGCTTCCCGCTGAGTAGGGAGCCCGATGCGGGGCTCGATCCCAGGACCCTGGGATCATGACCTGA